TTTTGGTTCTTTGATTGCGCGAGTCAGCTGTCATTTTGTTGTATTATTTTTTCGGGGAAAACGTGACGTAATTCTCTTATTGACACTTTGTACCGCATTTCACCTGTTCAACCGAGTTGACTTCTTACCGTGAGCCATTTGCATAAGCTGCAATAAAGCCCGCCCGAGACGTTGAACCCAAATTGATTGGCTGATAAACGGCTCCTTTTGTCAGGCATCGTGACAGCTTCGTCGAGTTTGCATCTCCGGCTAGGCGCCGTTACCTCGCTTACATCCGGCAGGTATGCAGCAAGAATGTGTGTTCCCCTCATCCTCTTGAGGGTACGGTGGTCCCACCTCAAACCTCAGCCGTTGATTTCCGAGATCGTCTTACACTCGCTCTATATAGGCTCTTTTATAAAACCCGCGTTGGCCCAAAAGGAGTCTTTCAGAATTTCAACGTTTACATTCAAGACGGACTGCATGACAGTCTATAACGGCTCTGCGTCTTGAATCAGGTGTTTGTCTGCATACTTCGAATTGCCGAAGTCTCCAGACGTGGGCGGCGTCTAACGGAGCTTGAATCCTACCTTTGTTTGTTTTGGTTTTTTTTGGGGGGCGGTGGCACCGCAGACCCATCAAATCCCAACTGGTTTGCTTTCCCAAAAATGTTATTTTTGGCTTTTGTTGCGTCGGAGTTTCAATGTGTGTGTCACGTACCGACAAGCACCATCTGGACAAGTTGTGTGATAAGCTCCCTTATCGATTTATTTCAGTGATCTGGACCTCTCAATCGTTTTGGACCGCTGTGAGAACACGTGCTGTCGTGCAATTGTGTATTTGTGTGTTGATGTTTTTCTTTTAATGAGGCGTGGCCTTAGCAAGTGGCATCAGGAGCATTGATTCCAGCACCAATTGGCAATTTTCCACCTGGTCACATCTGCACCATGCTCCTTGCGAGTGTTTTCATTTTGCAGTTGTGTGTTTTGGGCCGCTTGTCCTGCTCAATAAAACGTCTGAAAGTAATCAAACCTATAAAGTACGACCTCTCTTAAAACTCACTCGGTACCAGCCAATTCTGGACCAAGTCTGAAAAGACGTTTAAAAACGTCTTTGGGAGTGGATGAGTTAAAATTCAACCGACCTACGTCTCGTACATTGAAAAAGTCGCAAGCGAGGGTACTCGTGAAGTCGAGGTACCACTGCACCGGTTTGAGGTGTCTGAAGTTGGGAACCTCGCAACACCACAAAGACGTTTTTCTTTTGTCGTTTGTTTGAGAGCAGCTGCGCACGAGTGAATGAGCCGGCGACTGAATGCTTGATTGGCAGAAGCATTTGTGTGGCTGGAGTCAGAGGTCGTCCGCGTACAATTGTCCATACCGGGCAGAGATCCGTAACTGTGGATCTCGCTCATATGTGCAAGGTTCATGCAGACACACACACACACACAGAAACACGTACCCTTTTCCTCCACTCTGTTTTTGGGTGAGCGTCTAACCCAAATTCTCTGCAACCGCGGTGAAGGAAATCCCCTTTCTCCCCCCCCCCCCAGTAGGACGCTTGTCAGAATGAAAACACAGCTGGTGACATGTTCCTCCTCCCGACGCCAGGACGAGGCGATCCCGTTGTGTTTCTGCAAAGGATTCAGTCGTGGAGGGGGCGAAAGTCAAGAAGTACCCACTGCAGGCGTATTCACGGCAACTCGCTAGACATTGTGATGCTCCTTCCCGACTGCCTCGGCCACTAACAGACATAAGGACGTACGTATGATGATTAAAAAAAAATCCAAAGAGAAGGGTGGAAAGGTCAACCTGAACTCTGTGGATTTTATTCATTCATTTCAATGCAGAAAGTTGATTTGAGATACAGTTTTGAGTCATCTCAACTCCAGTTGAGTCGCCGACTGAATGAAATCCGTAAGTCGAGGCGCCGCTGTACCCCATAATCAGCTCGCCGCGCCTCTCCCGTCGACCGTGGGATTTGCATCCACCGATCGTACCCTTCTGTGTGAAGACAGGCTTTTATGGGTGTGCACTGACGCTGGGCACGTAGCGGGAACAGTCTGTTGGCCGGCCCTCATTAGCCGTCCCTTTTGTTACAGTAAGCCTCACCTCGCGGAGGCCAGATGCAGCGTGTCCAGATTAGATCCCACACCCGCTAGGAGTCTTGAAAAGCCACCCCTGAATCAGGCCTAATCCCCGCAGCAAGACTTTCTCTTGTCTTCATCTGCTTTTTCTCTCTGCGGCGCACAGCTGCAGATGCATATGTTTGTCACAGACAAGCCGAGGAATTGGTCATTTTAGCTTTTGAGGGCTCGAAACCCCAGAGGCAGGTCATGCATCGGTAGCAGGGCCATTAATTGAGACTTTTATTTTGGAAAACAAAGATCCCGACTCACCTGAGAAGCTGATTATGAAATATAATGTGTGCAGATCGCGAGAGAATTGTTTTGCTCGTCAAATTTGGCCGTAGCAAGTTTTGCTCAGGTCAGCCAATCAGAAGACGGAAAAGTGAAAAAGCGAGAACCAATTTGAAATTTGATCGGTTAAATAAACAGTCCCAAGTTATGATATAGTCGAAGTCCCATGCCTGGTTCTGAAAGCCCTGGGCAGATTACATTGGCATGGCGACACATAGACGCTGAAATCTGATTGGACAAAAAAAATGTAACATGTCCTGGAAGCTTTCCAGCCAAGAGAAAGTCTCGGAACTGTAGAGAATAGACTGTTGGGAGTAACTTTGACAATTTACAATTGTAGGAAACACATGTTAGATTTGAGGTTGTGCTTCTGATAGTATTTAGGCCGGCAGAGAAGGCCCACAATCAGATATTTACAAATTTGTGGGGGGTGGTTTGCATTATTACACAAAGCAGAGTCGCAGATAATCATTTAATTTTGTTCAATCTGGTTTTCCTCTTCGAGATGAGTTCCGCTACTCTGATAACTCCATTTGGTATTTGTTTGAAAGGCCGTTCAAAGCTTGTCAAACTGCGAAAAAGGATTCCGAACTTGTCCACGAGAAGACTCGCTCCAAAATTTTGGGAGTGTGTCTGTGGGGAATTTTTTTTCTCCATTCAACTAGAAGAGTGTTTTTGTTTAGGGCAAAATATGGCTCAATTTCTTTTTTTTTTGTAGTTCATCCCCGTGGTGTTTAATAGGCTTCTTCCACAAAAAAAAAAACAACAAAAAAAAGCTTGTGTATTTCCCCTGTGTTGTCTTAATTTTGACACAGCTGCAGTCTGCATGTTGTCTTTGGCCCGGCCGCTCGTGTTGCGGTCATTTACAGAAAGATCAGGCAGGGATTCCAGGATCCAAACTGCACTGTTTTGGGTCTGACCGCAAGCCGGACCCCGTGCGGCGCGAGATAACAACGAGGGAGTCTGACGAGACCTCCCAAAAAGTTGCGACACCAACTTGAATGTGTTGTTTCAGTTATTCGGGGGCGACAGCCCCGCTCACCTGGGGGTGGGTCGCAAGTTGCCTCGCAGCGCTGCATTCTGGCGTTATTTATTCTGCGCGATCGAGCTTTTCTTGGCCCGCGCTTTTACACCTCAACGGCATCCCAAAAAGTTTTTCAAAGAATTTGAACAGCTGGTGTTAAAGAGCCGCAGACGCTTTTACTGTGCGTTGAAATGCGTCCTTCCGTCATCCTTTTTAACTCGTCGCCGCGCTCGTGACAAATTAAAGTACACACCGGTGGGTTTTAATTGTCTTTCAATATATCCCAGACTCTTTCGGGCTGCATTATCTTTGTTTGAGCGCTCGTTGCCATGACAGGTCGCCAAACAAGTCTGAAGAGCGATTCAATTAAAATAGTCCAACTCAACTCTTGCGCTTGGACAGTGATGAGAAGTAACAAATATTGTACATGAGTAGGTTTCCTGTACCTTACGTTTGAAAACGGATGTCTGTCCCTTCAACTCTTTGTCAAAACAGGAGTGCTACTTTTTTATCCCCTGCTGAGAGCAACATCAAAAAGGCGTACATAGCGAGGGTGATTATGGTCTTTCGGTCTTACACTAAAACAAAAACAAAAACAAAAATAAACAGCTAATTTCTTACACTGCTAACTGGAAAGAAAAGAGCGCCAAAAAAAAAGCTAATTTAGCATTTACTCTTAGCTAGTTCAGTGTTCACCGAGCTACGGGAGCATGTTTTAAACATAAAAATTGAGTCAATGCTAGCTAGTAGAAGAACATATGTTGTAAAAACTGGTTTTGTACATTACGGACAGTACAAATAAAGTTTTGCTTTTGTGCCTCAGTACATTTCAGATTCTGTACATTACATTGCTAACTTTTACACTTGTCTCGTGTGGTATTTTTACACAAGTATCTGTCCTCCTGAAGTACTTTTTTTTTTTGCTAGCACTTAGCTGACAGTGTTAACTAGAATAGCTAAGATGACCCCAATGATCCGAAAAGCTTTAGCAACCCTTTTGCCAGGGCATTAAAACATGACCTACTTTTCCCACTTGTAGCGTAAACAGACAGTGGCAACATCCAAAACACACACACACACACACACACACACACACACACACACACACACACACACACACACACACACACACACACTCACACCCACCTCTCACCCCCACCCCCACACACACACACACACACACACACACACACACACACACACACACACACACTCACACACACGTCACTTTCTGCTGTGCATTTGAATTTGGAACCAATTGCAGTCTATCCTCACCTCCGAGTGTGTGGTGCCCATTCAGTGGAAGCTGAAATGGAACCATGTCCACTAACCGCTATGGAATCACATGGAAGTCAGCGGTCCAGTGGCTGTCAATTGTTGTGATCGAGTTTGTTGCTGTGACAATGGTGGGTGTCATATTTCTTAGCGTCGGCATAGCTAAAAGCGACACTAGGGGAGTTTCCTGCCACAAGACTCCTGCTGATCATGTGTTTCGGGTTCGACAGAATCCCCATGAACTGACAAAGTAGCGCGGTGGCTTCTGATTGGAAGTGCTCGTTGTGAAATTAGCATTTTAAAAAAAATGGAAACAGCCTGTGGTGTTTTTCCAAATTCCTTTCTGAATGCAGCAGTTCCAAAAGACAAAAAACAACAACATTCTTTTGGGTCTAAATCCCACTAAGATGACAGATGGGCCTTTTTCTATTTCGACCGTCTTTTCCATAAAGAATATCACGTGCTATTTCGGGCCCAATGCGAGAACTGGATTCCGCTAAACCAAACTCTGCGAGGGGAACATTCCACCACTGGGGTTCCTGTTGTTGTTGTTCACGGTCACGCCGCCGTCTCAAATATTCCCCTCCAATCGAAACACAAACGCTTTTTACATTCGCACCACATATGCTAGCGCTAGGCTAAGCAAGCCGCCAAACCGCAGGGCTTGTTGATGGACGCGCGTTGGCCGCAGTTGAATCGCGAGCCTGTCCCCACCGCGGCTGTTAATTACAGCGGGGCCCGAGGGGGAAAGTGTGATGAAGCGTCACGTCGGATCCTTTGGGCCACCGGAGAGTGGGAAGACCCCATCTGCTCCAGTAGTATCGGTCCAGTAGCAAGCTTCAACTTCAAAGCTAACCCATCGTACTGTTGGTCAACAAAACTCGTTTGTCACGGCTTCGTTGAAAAGCATCGTAACATTTGTGGATCATTACATCCCTACGAACACGTTCTCAACCACAGCTTTTTTTTTTTGGCCTGTTGTTCATGACTGAATTTCTCAATCAAACGCAGAACCGACGTGAAGCTTAGCTCACGTTAGCCTAGCTAAACGACCGAAATTGGGTTATTAACGTCGCTTACCTGTCTGCGTTAGCTCGATGTCATAGTGGTCTCTTACCTACGAGGTGAGTTGTTGCTATTTTGCGATTTCACAATTTTATTGCAACTTCATCCTTGAATACAAATTTTAACTTTATGGTATTCATTGATTCCCACTGTTAAAAGCATGTCGTTGGCAAAGATAAAGAAGCATTTCCGAGTTAGCAAAAGTCTACCAATTACAGATGTGTTCATTTGTGTCTGTCCAAAAAAATATACGAAATAATCTTGATCGGGTTGAATTTTTTTATTGTATTGTGCCGTTACGAATTCCACCTGTGTCGGCCCCCCTGTAGCGTCAGGACCGGGAGTGAGCGATGTGGAGATGGAGGAGACAGGAAAAGGAAAGAGGCAGCCTGGGTGTATGCGAGTGTATGTTTGTGTGTGCATACCTCAAGAGTTGTGTGTGGCCAGTGGGTGGGTGCGTTAGTCAGCCGTTCAGTCGGTCCGTCCCGGCTCTGCGCAGCACACTCGGCTGCTGAGTGGAAGCATCAGCATGTGTCTGCGGGACGTCCAGAGGAAGGAGCTTGAGGAAGGATGGACTAGCTAAAGACGACCGGGATCGTATTTTTGGATACGTTTAATCCTACCACGCCGACTTGGCTATGCCATGCTGGCCCAGAGGAACGGGCTTCCCGCAGGCTGCAAGCCGGTTCCTCTCCGGGATCTCGCCGACTTGAGGGAGGTGGACTCCGAGGGCTGCTGCTCCCTCTCGGCGTCGCCCTCCTCCGGAAGATGTCCCTGGGCTCGGCTAGCCGGCGTGGACTGCTGCTTGTCGGAGCCGTACTGCCTCTGGTTCCAGCTTTTGGCCAGAGCCTACTGGGGCGAATTAGAATTGGGTCTCAAGAGTTCCACCCGTGGCGTCTCCTGGGCTCGGCTGCGGGAAGCCTCCAGGAAGAACTGCGTGCGATCGCGGGTAAGCCGCGCGGGAATCTGAAAGCATCCCTCTGCGATTTGACATTGCGAAGGAGGCGCGAGGCAGAAATTCCTGGATGTGTGCTTACTTGAGGCTTTGAGGAACACTCCGGCGTATAGGTTTACATCGGAGGCATTCAGAGGGGAGGGGACTTTGTTGTGCTGTCTGAGGAATTTTCTGTGCGTCATTCCGGTCTCTTGTGGCAGCGCGGTCCCGCTTTATTGACCGATATCTTTAATTGTGGGTTCATTTGGTTGCGCTAAATGACACCGGAAAAGCTCAACAATGCATCTTCTTCGATCGAAAATGACCGTGTTTTATATTCCGCTGGGGTTGGAAGCGAGTCAGTCATTGTTCAAGCTGTATTTCAAGTGCATATTTTCCTGCGATAAAGTGAATTCCCGGTGACTAATGTTAAAATGTCTGCGGTCGGAGAGCTTTGGAAAGGAAAAGTGCGAGGGAGTCGCGAGAGGTAGATGGATGACGTCAGCCGCTTCGGGGCTGACTCAGGCTAAGAAAAACATACTTTTGGGGTGAAAGTGGACCAGCGCTGACATTCACATTCAAGTCACGACGCTGCCCTCATAGAGATGACGACATGCAAATCTGTCGGGTCTAGGATACCATCCCAGAGCCAACCCAAAGCGTCCATCGTGAACCTTTTTGGGGTCAGGTTCCTGAACTCACCTGTGATGTAGGCGCCATCTATATATATTTTTTAATTATTTTACCCTACCTACACGCTTCCAAAGCACCTGTTCTCTCTCTCTTTCTTCCTATCAAGAAATCTTATCACATCCCTTTAGCGGAAAACGAAAACGCCCCTCTGGCTTGCGCAGTTCTCCAAATGAGAAGCCCAGCGTGCTTGCTTCAAGATGTTTATTGGTCACTCCGAGTTGAACTGTACTGTAGATTTCGAGAGGCAAAAGATACTCAACATCGTATCTTCAAACAGCGAAATGTTCAACCCCAAACCACATCGTTTCATCCAACCAAAGTCACCTAGCTTAATGCTAACATGTCATGTGAATTGTCATAGACGGGCTAAAGGAAAGTTTCAAACGACTGCCTCTTTACCAGCAACAGAAGCGAACACGCACCAACTCACAGGCATTTATTCTCCGTTCTGCGAGAACAACAACAAACCACCGCAGCTTTTTCGCTGCCTCTTCTTGCTCTTCATGACGCTGCTTCTCTCCCAGTGGCGCTCAGTGGCTCATCTTTCATAATTCATCACATTTGCTACATGGAGAGACTCCCTAAGCCTCATCGAGCCAAATAGCTCATCTCTTACATAATACGGCGTTCATTTTTTTTTTTTTTTAAGCCTGAAACCAAACAAACGGCAGAGCGAGATGACGTCAGCTGAGTATTGCTGAAGATTTCAGCCGTCAGAGCGTGAAGCCCACACCCATCCGTCTCCCAGAGGACCTCCGACATCTGCTCCTCCCAGACAGCCCGAGCGGGAACTGTGGATCGAAAAGCCGGGCGGTGGAGAGGATGTCATTGTTTTGGAGTCAGACTGAGGCTTGTATTTTTGTAGATGCGAGACTCTCGGCTGATCGTCATAGCTTTAGCTGCAGCAGCTAACTACGGCGCATATGTTCTCCTCCATCATTATTTTGTTGATGGATGTGACGTAAATGTCACTCTCGGGATTGGTATTTCAACATTATGTAAATGAGACGACTCACGTCATCATTTGGGCTCTTGGCCACGTTCCCAGAAGTAAGCAGACTCCCAGAAAGATCGACTTAGTCGTGTCATTTCTCTCTCGGGGAGGGCAGGCAGTTCAGACGTGCGACTCTTTGTATACAAGCGAATAAAAAGTCCATATTTCATCATATAGTTGCAATTCGGTCTGACGTCGGGCACGCACACGTGCATCGCTCACGCGTTCGCGTTCAAGCCGTGTTGTCGCCCCGCCCGAGTCGCTGTAGGAATGCGTGAGATAAGTCTCTCATCAGCCAAACGCGCCGGAGAGCCCCACAAAGCCCCTGAATGTGCAATAACGAGAGCCACATGTGTGCATGTGTGAAGCCCGAGGCAAAAAAAAGCGAACAAAAAAAAAACAAACAAGGTCTTAATGGCGAGGCTTGTTATTTTGACAGATATTGTTTTCTCCAAGTCCAATCACGGTTAAGAAATACAACTGTGCGTTTGTGTGTGTTTGTGTTTGTGTGTGTGTGTTTTTGGCCTCATCCCCGGAATGCCAGACATTCCTCACCAAGCGCAATGACGGATGTTGAGCGCCTCTTGTCTCCATGTCAATCTCAAGAGTCGTTTAAGTCCACTTGGAGTATCGAGCACCGTGTCTGAATGACAGTTGCTAGCGTAGCGGCGCAATAAAGTCTTCGGGGTTTTTTTTCGGGATGCCCAATAGTCTACTTGACATCAAGATGAATAGGGCTAATTACGGACAAGGTTACTGGTGTGAAGCTCCGCCTTTTGAAGTTTGCTATTCCCAAACTCTCAATTATATTGCAGGTTTTTGTTTTCGGAAACTAAGCGGCAATGTGGGCAGGTTGGGACGTATATGCTCTGCTACAAAAATTGATATATATATATATATATATATTTTTTTTTTTTTTTTTGAGAATTGACCACTGACTTTTGTATTTTATCCAGGCCAAGCAGAAGGATGGGCCCGACCACAGCGATAAGTCGGCCGTGGCCTCCCCCGGGCCGGAGGAGGAGCCGTTCTCCTGGCCCGGTCCCAAAACGCTTTGCCTGCGCCGGACCTCTCAAGGCTTCGGCTTCACTCTGCGCCACTTCATCGTCTACCCGCCCGAGTCTGCCGTGCACAACTCTCTCAAGGTAACGGGGAGCTTTCGCAGTGAGGATTGTGACCGCTGAACTTAGTGTGTCGCTGTGTCATCAGCAAGCTGCAACACATAGACTGGAAGAGTCACAGAAAGGCATAGAAGTGGGCGGATCAAACACCTGTTGTGATTTTTTTTTTTTTTAGCAGTCATCAATTGGTGCCAAAAGTCGTGAAAGGTTCAACAATTCTAAAGTTTAGAGACGGTTGAATTCAGTTCACCTGTCCAAGTTATACCGTGACTTTAGATTCGTTCTAAAATGTGAACCCAAAGCCCAATATCCCAATTTTTTTTTTTGTCATGACATGAGTTGGAATGTCTACTTTCAAAATGGGTTGGCGCGAACTAACATGGGTCACTCACAAGTTAAGGTGGCCGTCTTATTTCATTTTCCCCGAATGGGAGCTAAAAAAAAAGGAATTCCCGTTGACAGGACGCGGAACGGGAACAACAACAAGGCTATGTGACGGAAATCGCTAGACTTAAGTAATGGCATGCAGATGGGCGGAACAGCAGACGGGGCGGAGAGCCGATTGGCTGACGGGAGCAGGTGGAACTAATGACACGGACAGACAGGAAGTCCCGCTGACAAACAAGGAAGGAATGCTCCCAGAACAACACACGCATCACTTGATCTTTTCAACGGCTGCCAGTCTGTCATGTGTCCAATTGAAATCAGGCATATTGTGCTCTTTTTTTTTTTTTTTTCTTTTCACAATTTGAAACAGTTCTCCAGAGTGGCTTGGAGAATATATGGTGCGAGTATTACGAAATCTTCCCATAAGACTTACAAACAGATCAAAACGACAACACTCAGAGGCTTTTTGACACCTTCCGAAAATAATTGCCTCCGTCATGTTTTGACCAAAGTTTTCAGATGACTCCATTTCCCCACTGAAATTAAATTATTCAAATAGAATATTATATTCCGTTTTTGGTTGGGTCTTTTCTAAAACCATTGTGGGGAATTCAGTGTCGCTCAAGAAACTCCACGCAGAATCTACAGAAATACACAAATAAGACGATTTAAAATCTGACACATAACTGCAGTCCTAGAAGAAAAATACTGAAATATCCAAAATAAAATATAAAAATAGTGGGTGAAAAATACACAAAGAAAGATGCACAAATATAACGGAAATATTGGAAAATTATACAGAAGTATCGAACTAATATTAACCCTTGCATTGAAAGATACAGAAATGCTAGCAAAAAAACCCAAAATTAATTTAAGCAGTGACTTCATCGAGTACTAAGGAGGGCATGCAGAGGTCTCTGCTTGATCCCACCTGGGACAACTGCCAGTCGTCCTCTTGATCGCCCGTTGCCAATCTGCTTTTCTTTTCTTTTTTTTTTTTTTTTGAGGTACTTATCCTGATGTGCCAGGCAGCGTTCGGCTCCACTGATGCGCAAAGGCTTTAAGTTCATAAATAGGCCAAAGCTTCAATGGGAACACGTCACTGGCCTCTGAGGGGTCTTTTAGTGGCCACATGCCAAGTCCAAACGCACGCCAAGTCCGAGCTTGATGAAATGAAACGAACTTTATTACCTACAGCAGGCGAGGGCGAGTTAAAATGCGTCCACTCCGAGCGACTTTTTTAAGGATGGGAGATGGAAGCCGTGGATTTGGGGCTCATCTCAAAGGCAATCAAAAAGAAAATCCGGGATGTGCAAGTGACTGCGGGCTTTTTCTCAACATTGGTTTAGGGTGGTGATGTTTTTATTGTTGCATTGGCAGCACTTGTGTCGCCACACACTTTGACAAATGGGTTGTCTTCCTCAAGGGACGCAGGTAGCGCTTTTGTGTTTGTGTGGAGCGGAGGCCTGTTTCGGGAGTTTAGTGGCGCTGCCGTTCTGCTGAGTGAGGGGAAATGGTCGCATTCGCCCCAATGAAAGGAATGGCTGTGTTGCTCTGGCTCGAGTTTTACGATGTTGTTGAACTTTACCGTGTTTTTTTGAGAGGTAATAACACTAAATGGAGATGAAAAAAAAAACCCACTCATTTTTTTCCCTCTCTCTGTTTTCTTCTCTAGGATGAAGAGAATGGTAGCCGAGGTGAGTGTGAAAAAACTGTTTTTGAGGAAAAGAAAGACGGAAATGGATGGAAAAAGTATTATACAAATATTCCGGGGGGGGACGACAAACACAAGCAATAATAAAATATATAAAACAAAATTTCGGATTTTTTCCACATGAGTTCCACATGAAAAATGTACAAATGTGGCACAAAAAAAAAACTTGAAGATATTGCGGTGGTGCAGGGATTACACGAAAACAGAAATTAGGGCAAAAGACAAATGTGAGATTTTACAAAAGAAAAAAGAGAGGAATTGGAACTACAAAAATATTACCTGAAAACAGACAAACAATAAATAACATATTGCAATCCATAAATAAGCCATAAATAAGCAAACAAGTAAAAAAAAAAAAAATGCAATAATAAGTCAAAAATACGCAAATATCGAAAAAATTGATAGCCAGCTAGCTAGATAGCTGGCTAGCTAAATAGCTAGCCAGCTAGCTAGATAGCTCTAACTAGCTAAATAGATAAGATATTCCTCCCGTGTGTGTGTGTGTGTGTGTGTGTGTGTGTGTGTGTGTGTGTGTGTGTGTGTGTGTGTAATTTTTTTTTATGTGAGCAGTATTAAACGAGGAGTGACAGTCGATTAGCTGCACGGCATTCTCACACGCCTTCTTCGTTACGCTCGCAAGATGCATCCAATTAAATCTCTTAGTTGCTTGTCGCTTCTGCCAGGCCCGCCGTCCAATATATTCCCATTCGCGCCCTGTCTCATACGTTGGCTGATTTCCCTCGGGAGGCTCCACTGTCAACAGACGCGTCCATCATTCAAAGCGAGTCAGACGGACGGACGGGCCTGTCACATCCTCAACGTCGCTGTTTCAGAATTCATGGAAACTGACTGGGAATATAAGCAAGCATAAAAATGAACATTTTGTTTTGACATAAGCAGACTTTTATGAAAAATAGGCAGATCTCCTTGCCCACATGCGAGGGCATTACAGTCCCTTAATTGCGCCATTTTTTTTTCCTACATAGCGGTTTGCAGGAGCTAGCATGTGCGCTAGTGCGCCTCACTTGGACAGCGCAAGTTTCTTTATGAACCGCCTCCTCACAGGAAATTAAGGTGCCTTTTGGCAGCCGCAGCGCACGCTGATGTCATGACGTCGCGAGAACGATCGGTGCGCTTGGCGTGCTTCCAGGCAGGTCGTAAATCCTTCTAGTGGGAGGGTGACATGTTGGACTGAAGGCAATGAAAAGCTTTTAAAAGTATGACATCACCATCAGTTGTTCCCACTGCTCTGTTCAGATCTTGGTGACAGCATTCTTGTTCAAAGTTGGGAGTGTGTCAAGATCTGCGGTCGAATAACTGTTGCAAGTATGCGGATAGAACGTCACACTTGAATACATCTTGACTGCTTCGCCAGCCCCCGAAACTAAATGAAGGAAAAACATTTGACCGTCCGACATGTCAAGAGCCATATTTTGATGTCGTCTTGGAAAATGGAAAGAGAGCGCACGATATGTCGCTCACTGCTTACGACGTGCCATTGTGACAGGGAATCTGCTCGTGTCATCATAAAATGGAGACGTACATTTGGACACATTTTCTTGAATCGGGAGGAAGGAATGTGTTTTTCATTGAAGCCCTCATTCTTCACGGAACCTCGGGCCAAGCCTTGACAGCTGATGACAGGAAATAAAAGGCAACCACAAAGCAATAAGGCTCGGAATACCTCAAGAAGTGCTCAAAAAAAAAAGAGAATGAGACAAAAAAAAAAAATACACAAATATTCTTTTTAGAAAAATGCACATACATTTAGAAAAAGAATACACAAACATAATTTTCTCCAATCATGAGGATTATCTGTTTTTATTACACAAATATTATGAAAAAAATATATATATTACAAGCGTTGGTGTGTGTGTGTGTCTTTTTCCATTTTGTTGTTCTGCTAAATTGACCAGGCTGTATGAATGCCTTTTAGTGCTACAGTGAGCACTCTGCACCTGCAATATATAGAAACCTTATTTAAAAAAAACCCACACACTCACACAAATTTGTCACTCTCAGTTAAAGTTTCCTGTAAAACAGACACATGAAAGAGATTTCCACGTTGTATTTGAACACCAATCCATATCATTTCATCTAACGACACTCAGCTAGCTTAATGCTAACATTACAGGCTATCACAATGGGCGAGCACGAGTTTGTATACGTCAGCGTGAATGTTCGCATAAATGTTAGCTTAATTCTAAACCACTGCTGCTACTTTGACGCATACAACGTACGGCGCGTGCAACAAAAGAATGTATTTGAAATGGTCAACCAAACCACGCCATTTTGTCTCGTTCAAGTATGCTAGCTTAAAGCTTACATATCAGCTGGCAACCTCAAGATCATCTTTCCAAAGTTTCAAAGGGCCGCTGAGGTCAATCATTATGTGGCATCACCTTCAAAGAGGTTTGCTAATAAAGCTTTGCGACATAGATGCAAATTACTAAAGAATACATGTCATGTACAAACATATATTCTGCCACTTATGTGGTAAAAATCAAGCATGTCGGTGATTTTTTTTCATGGGCTAGCGCAAAAAAAGGACATGGCGAGGTCTCTTCAGGAGGTCCGACTCATGCAGGTGTTTCTATCGCGTCCCGCTTCCCAAAGTAAAGTTGTGCTTGGACCGCTGCGCGTGTGAACCTCCCGCTCTGTCTTCATGGGAACGCAAACGCGAGATTGCTCTTTTTATTTTCATTTCGCCTGCTCTCTTCCAGTTTTGAGCGGACAATAGAACACGCTGGGATTTTCAAAAGTAGCGCGCGGGGTTGGGCTTGAATGTAAAAGTCAAATATTTGCAAACACTGTAAATAAAAGGACTTGTCGTTGAGTTAAAACGTGTTCATCGTCGTCGGTGTGCTGTGTGGTCGGCAGGGAGACAGCGAGGCCGCCTCGAGCCCATGGACACCATTTTTGTCAAGCAAGTGAAGGACGGCGGCCCCGCACACGGAGCTGGACTCTGTACAGGTACACACACACACACACACACACACACACACACACACAGCATGTCGGTGATTTTTTTTCATGGGCTAGCGCAAAAAAAGGACATGGCGAGGTCTCTTCAGGAGGTCCGACTCATGCAGGTGTTTCTATCGCGTCCCGCTTCCCAAAGTAAAGTTGTGCTTGGACCGCTGCGCGTGTGAACCTCCCGCTCTGTCTTCATGGGAACGCAAACGCGAGATTGCTCTTTTTATTTTCATTTCGCCTGCTCTCTTCCAGTTTTGAGCGGACAATAGAACACGCTGGGATTTTCAAAAGTAGCGCGCGGGGTTGGGCTTGAATGTAAAAATCAAATATTTGCAAACACTGTAAATAAAAGGACTTGTCGTTGAGTTAAAACGTGTTCATCGTCGTCGTTGTGCTGTGTGGTCGGCAGGGAGACAGCGAGGCCGCCTCGAGCCCATGGACACCATTTTTGTCAAGCAAGTGAAGGACGGCGGCCCCGCACACGGAGCTGGACTCTGTACAGGTACACACACACACACACACACACACACACACACACACACGCACACACACACACACACACACACACACACACACACACACACACACACACACACACACACACACAGATTACATTAGTCTGTTTCTTAACGTTTGTGCCAATAAAGCACTTTTACTCCATTTATTTATTAATGGCGCTTTTATTCCATTTGTGTGTGCAGGCGATCGCATCGTGAAGGTGAACGGCGAGAGCATCATCGGGAAGACGTACTCGCAGGTCATCGCCTTGATCCAGAACAGGTGAGCCGCTCGCCCGGCGGCGCCGTCGACGTTGCCGCGCCCCCGTTCCTCTCCTCACGTTTTCCTCCCGTTTGCTTCCACGCCGCCTCCCGCTGTCGTCATGGCGATGCAGCGATGCCTCGCTGGAACTCTGCGTGATGCCAAAGGATGAGGACATTCTGCAGCTGGTAACAATCGTTTTCCCCATCCTACTTCTGTTTGGCTTTGATTTTATACTACTCGACTTGATTAATTAATTAGACTAGTTTGATGAATTGTTCGGGGTATTATTGGGGTAAACCATGAATGACAAAGTTAGAATGTCAGCACGTATTCCCTTCTTTTCTTGTGGCTTGCTGCTTTCTGTTTCAGCGCCACTCAAAGAAAAAGCGATCTGAGTCACAAGTGACATTCAGCTAAAAGGCGGGTGTCAGGTTATTTCCGTCGAATCCGCGATCTGAGGCGCCTCCCGCCTCGACGATGCCGTTGGCATTCTTCTGACAATCGAGTCAGATCTTCCGCAGTGATGCCAAATAAGTCAACTCTTGAGCTGCCTGTCAAAAAGGCGCCGTTATCAGAGCTTGGATGTGAAGCTCCTCCGTGTGCACTTCAGTGTGCCTCGTCACGTTGCTGCACAAGACCACACAAAGTCGCCTGTGGCCCTTCTTCCAGATGAAATTGTCAGTTGTCGGTAGATGTCTTTTGACGGCGTCTGTGAGATGCGGTTCGGACGTCTGCTGTCTGCTTGGCGTCATGTACATCCGTCTCACTTCAAATGTGATCATCAAGTGAAGCGTATTCGCTACTCGTTAATTCACCAACAATTGGGTGGCAATTATTTTTACGCCATTCACAGCAGTGCTCGGTCCTCCCAATCGATGGAAATTGTGTTCCTTGATTTGAAAGCATCTTATTTCGTCTCACCACACTGCGGTTTATTTTTATCCCGCCTCACAAATTGGGTGGCTTTTTTTTCCATGTCTTTGTGCTTACCTGTCAACTTGTTTTCACTCCTTTTACTCCTTGCCCTTCTTTTGCCTGCCGACTGCAGTTTTCCAGGGACATCACCGCTCTGGTAAGACGGGAACTATGCTAACTAACTGACGAACCTCTTTGCTTATTTTTCCTCCTTCCTCGTTTGGGTTATTGGGACTCCAGCCATGAGCTGTGGTTGTTCATCTTGCAATTAAAAAATAATAATAATCTAGCCGACTTTGCCAGCTACACTAAGCCGCGTGAAATTTTGTGAACAGATCTAATCATGGGCAGACCCACAAAATCTTCTCAAAAACCCATCCCCAAAATGATGAAGTAAGTTTGCTATTTTGGTTCCAAGTTGCCTTTTTTAGGATAATTTTGGCAATTTTTCAGGTGTCTTTTGAAAGTTTAATGAAAATTCAGCCCCCTGAAGCAATTTGGTAGGCGTGTCGATTATGATCGCTCCTGCACAGTAAGACACAGGAAGTCTGCCGTTTTGGTGTGAATTTGCCATTTCAGGGTCATTTTAACAATTCCCAGGAGTTGTTCAGAAACTTTTTTTCAAAATCTGCTCTAAAAGCTTGTCTAATTTAGGAACATGAAATTTGATAAGCATATCTATCATGAGCAGACCCACAAAAAACAAGTCTCCAGAAGGCGTGTCTGCAGACAAAATGCCGTTTTGCTTTGAAGTGACCATTTTAGAATCCTTTCGACCAGTGCCAAGGTGTCCTTCAAGGAGGAACTCAACATTTTTTTTTAATCCAATGGCTACCAAATTAGAGTTGTCGTAAAATGCAAAAAAATCTAACAGTGCAATTCTTTCGTGTCCCAGCTTGATCACTGCTCGCAAATTTAAATTGCGTGGCCCTCTAATGACATTAAAATGAAAAGGGAAAGCAGCAAGCATCAGACCTCACGCTGCCGTCTGCCTCGCACAACAGTAACCCGAGAGCTCTTGGGAAGAGTGCCATCGATGAGAGTCCAACCCCGCAAGTCTTTCCCTTTCATTTTCTCTCAAGAGCAACCCGAGGTAGAGTCCAATATTGAGTTTTAGCTGAAGCCGTTCGCTTGAACCGAATAGCACGAGAGGAAGTGGTGATTTCAAGTGTTTTGGATTGAATCTTTCGTTGCATGGACAGTCATGTTGACAGACGCGGCGTTAGTAGCCAGCGGCAAAAACAGGCGTCCTCTTTTTGGATTCTCCTCACGCCTCGGGGCATATTTTACATCCAAAAAGGTGGGTAACGCCTTACCTTCCTCATCCTCAATCCTTTCACTCCTTGCTTGATGACTTGATTCCTTTTAGTGCATTCCCCCCCCAAAAAAATTGACAAATGTAAGAGTTGCTTAGTCTGATTTTTGGTGTCTAAAGCGCATTGTAAAACTGCAGCTAGCTTGATGTTTATGCTCAGAGCAAACGTCGATCTTGTCACACTTTCACCGGTTGACCCCAAAATGTTTGCAACCACGAGGCACACGATGGGACGTGAGCTTTGTGGGATTGTAAATCAGCTGTCAAATGCCACCTATCGGAGCCTTAAAAGAGATGCGTTTAAGTCAGGTGTAAGGGTGCACGCCTGAAACTCACTGCCCACTAATGATCTAAATGCGTAAAGCCGCAATAACGACCGTCTGTCTGGAAAGGTCAAGCTCCTCCAAACCGTTTGAAAGGCATCAACAGCGTCTTGTCTCTGGTGTTCGGTGACATCCTGCCCCGTCTATTCTCTTGCAGGCGTATTCTCAGGACGCGTACCTTAAAGGAAACGTGGCATACAGCGGAAACGCCCAAAACATCCCCGAGCCGCCGCCCATATGCTACCCTCGGATAGAGATTAAGGCTGCTAGCAAGGTGACGGAGGCAAGCGACGAAGGGACCAGCGCCCCCCGAGAGGCAGCTCAGGGTGCAGGAAGACAAGGAGGGGCAACAGAGAAAAGCTACCGAGTGGAAATTCCCGTTCCCCCTTCACCCCAACCGCCGCAGACGGCGGTCTGCGCCTGTAAGGACAACTTGAGGACAGCGGCCGAAACCCCTGTGCGGTTGACCCGGGCGGGTCAGAGGACTGAGGAGAACCGATGCTGTCCTTCAGGTTCTCCTATAGCCACACCTCTGGTTTCTTCACCTCTAGGAGGTACGCCGTCGCAGCATCCTTCTCCTCGTCCCGCAGCGACCCCCGTGCACTGCCCGCCCCCGAGCACACAACCTCGCCCAAGCCATCTCGACAACTCCACGGTACGAGCGTCCCTCACTTCTGCTTTACCGGACACATTGTCACCCAAAGCCAGCCAGCACTCGCCCTCGCCGACAGCCTCGCCGTCCCCGCACCAGAACATCGACTGGAGGAACTACACCACCTACAAGGACTACATCGACGCCAAGAGGCTCCACACGTACGGCTGCCGCACAATCCAAGAGCGCTTGGATAGTTTGCGTGCCGCCGCCAACTCCAGCTCCGCCTACGGTCAGCAGCGCTCGTACTCTCCGTGTAGTGTTCAGAGAGGACTGAGTGCCTCTCAGGTCAGATGGAGGAGCACGTCGACGGATCGGGGGGTGAACGGCGGGAACCACGGCACTCCGTTACGAAGCGCCTCCCAGGAGAGGCTCGGAGGGTCGGAGCGGAGCAGGAATTGGCCGCGGAGCGCTTCCCAAGACGCACTGCCGTTCTCCAGCCCCGTGGGCGTGGCCAAATCTCGAGCGTGCTCTTTTGACTTCCTGGGCCAGAAGCCCGGAGAGCCTCGAGGTCTTGGCGCCGCAGACCGGACAGGTTTGGAAGACCGTCTTCTGCTTTGCCAAGGGGAGGAAGCCAGAGCCAGCAGGCAGGGGGCAGCCTCAAGAGCTTTACCTCATCTCAATCGCGGCGTCACCGGACAGGACGCCGATGGAACAGGAAGTGGATTGTCAAACTCCTCTTTGGCGGATCGAATGTGTAGCAAACCCCCATTAAGGACAGACGGCAACATGATGAGGCCCTCTCGGCTACCTGTTAAAAATTCCATCCCAGATGCATCATCTGCCACTAAAACCACAGACTCGCTGAAAGACCAAAGAACTCACATCACTGGAAACCACGTAGGCTACCCGTCACCTCCGCACTTGGAGCTCAGGACTCGGGCTGACAGCCTGAAGATGGAGAGCAGGTCCGAAGCCAGTTTGGTGGCCAGGACTTCGTCTTGCTCAGGTCCCTCGTGCAAAACAGCCACGCAGAGACCGATACAAAGTGGCACTGTCTCGTCTTCCAACCCGAATGGAGCTGCGAACCTCAAGCCCGAGCCCTCCGTACGGACTAACGGGGGTCTGACAGAAGGTGTCGAGGGACTGGACGCGACGGTTGTCGTCCTGAGAAAGGACAAAAACTCATCGGCTGCTCGTGCGCGTCCCCCGTCCTACGTCTTTGCCGTTTGTGACGAGCAAGGCGGCGTGGGCTATAAGTCGCCGTCGTTGATGAAGGCCGGTTCCGCGGACGCGGTGGCGTGTTGGACTAACAGCTGCAGGGAGATGCATCTCAGGAGGCTGGGAGGCACTCGGCAAAAGAGCGCATCCGAAAACCTGGATGACTCCTTGGACTCTATCCCCTTTATAGGTAATTCTGATTCACATGAATTCCCTGTGTGAGTGTGCTAACGCTTGTCGAGTTTGATAACCGCGACTCCAGATTTGAAGGGCTGTCCTGTACGCGTGTGCCCTCAGATGAACCCTCCAGTCCGAGCATGGATCTGGACACGGTCAACATTCCGGCCTCGGCTGTCATCTCCGCAACGCCCGTCATCACCACCATACCACCCAGCCCAACCGCCACGTCACCCCTTATGCGCCGCCACATGTCGCACGACCACGGTATTGATTCAGACAATTAGTTTACTCACAAAAGTTTTTGGGTTTTTTTTCACGAGGCAAATCAGAATGACTGATATCTGCGACACATATCCAGTCGGACTGTTGAATGTTAATGATGTCACGCTCCGAACAGATTCCCTGCGGCTCACCATCATCGAGTCGGACTCCGGGGGTAAAACGGAGCGCTCGTTGTCATACGACGAAGGCTTGGATAACTACCGGGAAGACGGCGGAGGGTGAGTTTGAGCGCTGATGAAAATTCTGAATTAAAAAAAGGAACAAAAATACACATTTCAGGCTCACGGTTGGACATTTTGTCGTCATGTAGGAGGTCCTTGATAGCTGGGCTTAAAGGCCTCAGGAAGGTGAGGCCAGCTTGTCCATCAGCACAAACAAAGATGGAATCAATACCTGCAGACTTTAAAAGAGAGAATCTGTTCCCTGCAGGCGATGGACAGGTCATCTGAGGATTCCGGATCCAGGAGGGATTCCTCTTCGGACATTTTTTGCGACGCCACTCGGGAGGGTCTGCTGCATTTCAAGCAGCTGAATACTGACAAGGGAAAGGTACGTCGTGAAACGTGACCAAAACTGGCATTCATGTATTGTGCAACATGGCAGGTTGCATTACTCGCGTGACAGTTTCATGTCACCAGTATAGTGACCAAAAATTGTCTCACGAGGTCGCAATAAGTTTTAAAAATGCATTGAGACAAACTCTGTTTAAAGTATTCCTGGACAAATGGTACCTGTACGCTATCGTACGAAAATAACTCGCTCACACTGTTCTCTGAAGAGGCCAAGTGTGTGTGTGTTGAAGCTCTTTCTGTCACTCCCAGTTAAAGTTTACTCTAACACTGACACATAAAACCAAATCGAATGAAACGTCTACTCAGACGCCAAAATGTTCAACAAAACTACAGCATTTCATCCCCCGCCCCAAAAGTCCCCTAGCTTAATGCTAACATATAATGTGTAACACCATTGGTGGGCTAACGGAACTTAGCATGGATGTGACAGTAATTCGACCGCTACTTTGCCGCACGTGGAGCAGCAAACGCATGATGAACCGTCTCCAGCGACAGTTTGGCCTCTCACATTGTTGTGTCCAACTCTTTTGGCAGCGCGTGGGCGGCGGCATGCGCGCCTGGAAGCAGATGTACGCTGTGCTGAGAGGTCACTACCTGTGCCTGTACAAGGACAAGAAGGAGGGGCAGGCGCACGCCACCTGCCAGACGTCGGACGAGCCGCTGCCCATCAGCGTGCGGGCCTGCCTCATCGATATCTCCTACAGCGACACGAAGCGCAAGAACGTGCTGCGCCTCACCACGTCCGACTGCGAGTACCTGTTTCAGGCCGAAGACCGCGAGGATATGCTGGCCTGGATCCGAGTCATCCAGGAGAGCAGCGACCTGGACGAGGAGGTGAGAATTAGAACTCCGCGCGGGCTGCTGTTGAAATTGCAACAAAGATTGACGTCTTAACACCCTCCCAAAATACGGACGTTAGCATCGCTATATATTAGCGGACAGCAGGGTTTGGCGGTTTCCGTCTGCTTGCACCTTCATCCTTGGTTCTTTTCTTCTTTTAGAACGCGGCCTTTACCAGCCATGACCTCATCAGCCGGAAGATCCGGGAATACAACACCTTGATGAGGTAAGGGGGGTGGGGGTGGGGGGCGGGGGGATTTGAGCAACCGGAGAGGAACGAGCTCTCCTCAGATGTTCTCCAGATGGGTCCGACTGAGGACGTTTGGTTTCTTCCACAGCCCGACGGGCAGCAAGACGGAGCCGTCGCCCCGGTCGTCTCGCCAGTCGCTGAGCATCCGCCAGACCCTGCTGGGGGGCAAAGGAGATGCCAAAACTCCCAGTCCGCACTCGCCGAAGCCGGAGCAGGAGAAGAAGAATGCGCACAAAGGTCAGCCGTGTGGGAGATGGGAGTATTTTTTTGACCTGTCCTTTTTAACTTAACAGGGTTTTTTGTGCATCAGGGGGTATTGATATACCCCCTCTGTGGTTATTTGTACTGTGCTGGATATTTTTGGTGAATGTAGTCAGGCTGAATGAAGGTTCAGAGGGAACAGAGAACAATAGGGGTGAAAAAATGGTATTTGACTATTATGTTCCATATTTATTGGGTTATTTTAATTTTAATTCGTTTTCCCTTTCAAAAGACAAGGCTAATGCCAATATTCGAATGAAGTTTTGATTTTTTTTTCCCCCCTCCTGAGTGACTATTCTTCCATTTCAAGAATAGAATTTGCGATAACGACAAAATAAAAGCGCATATCCTCTTGAAGGAAACTTTCAACACACTCCATAATACTGTTTCATAAATCCTTTTGAATATTCAAAAATCTGACAGATGACACGAGCCCCCCCAAGGACAAAGGCACGTGGAGGAAGGGCATCCCGGGCCTGATGAGGAAACCTTTCGAGAGGAAACCGTCGCCTGGAGTCACTTTCGGAGTGAGACTGGACGACTGTCCTCCGGCGCAGAACAATAAGGTCTCAGAATCATCCCTCCGTCATTCCACACATCATTGATTTTCCTTCCTGGTATTCCCTGAAAAAAGTTGTTTTAAAGACGTTTTTTTTCACTCGGCCCGCTTGTAGTTTGTGCCGCTGATCGTGGAGGTGTGCTGCAAATTGGTGGAGGAGCGAGGCCTGGAGTACACGGGCATCTACAGGGTGCCGGGGAACAACGCCGCCATCTCCAACATGCAGGAGGAGCTCAACAACAAGGGCATGAACGACATCGATGTCCAGGACGATGTGCGTCGCCTTAAATGATTACTTCTTACCTTGCGAGTTGACCAATTTTTAGCTCAATTTTTCCCATCGCTCATTTGTCCCTCTTGGTGTTTTTTTTTCCAGAAATGGCGGGATCTCAATGTGATCAGCAGTTTGCTCAAATCGTTCTTTCGAAAGCTGCCTGAGCCTCTCTTCACCAACGGTGTGACGCTTTTCGCATGCTTTCACTGGCCTCTAGTGGACACATTTGGAAGTAACTTTTTTTTTTTTTTTTTTTTTTTTTTATGTGGACCTGCAGATCGGTACGCGGACTTTATCGAGGCCAACAGAATAGAAGACCCCGTGGAGAGGCTCAAAGTTCTCAAGAGGCTGGTGGGTTCTTTTGCTCACTTCAAACGAACGCCCCGGCGAGATCTCGCTTCACCGGGTTCTGAAGCGATCGTTTGTCTTTCTTCTGTCTTATTTCAGCTTCACGAGCTGCCCGATCATCACTACGAAACCCTCAAGTTTCTCTCAGCTCATCTGAAAACCGTTGCGGAGAACTCGGAGAAAAACAAAGCATGTTTTTCTTTCTTCTTCTTCCCTTTCTTCTTCCGGATAAATAAATAATAACACGCTCGTTTTTCTAGATGGAACCGAGGAACCTGGCCATCGTATTTGGTCCCACCCTGGTGCGTACCACAGAGGACAACATGACCCACATGGTGACGCACATGCCTGACCAGTATAAAATCGTCGAGACCCTCATTCAGAATGTGAGTAAACTGCCTCCCAGCCCCTAAAAAATGTTTTTTTTAATTGTTGTTATTTTATTCATGCACAAATTCTGCTTTCATTACTGTGCAGTACCATTGGTTCTTCACTGAAGAAGGCAATGGAGAGCCCGTGGTGAGCATTATTCATTCTTATCTAGATCATGAAAATCTGGGCAGCACAGTGCATCAGTGGTTGCATTTTCTGTCTCATAGCCAAGAGATTCTGGGTTCGAAACTCACCATATCATTTTGTCATCGTTTCAGTTTAGCGTTAGTCAATCATTTTCCTGACGCCCGAAGTCGCCTGGGCACCTTCTGTGTACAAACCTTGTGAAATCGCGTGTCGGTTTTGTTGACTCTTCTTTCGCCGCAGACGGTTTCGCACGAGGAGAGCGCCGTGGAGTCGCAGCCGGTCCCCAACATCGACCACCTGCTCACCAACATCGGTCGCACGGGCACGTCGCAGGGCGAAGTATCAGGTAAGGGCGCCGCCCCGTCGTCATGGCGCCAAGTAATGAACCTTTTCCCTCTGATGGGTCCGCTGACACCGCAAAATATACTTTTGAAGACATTTTTGTTTGGTAGCATGTGCAAAATGTGCCTTGGTTCACTGAAAGTTGGGAACCCCTGCGTTGACAGCGTGGGTGGGCCTGTGTGGCGTTCAATTTATTAGCATCTGACAGTGGCGAGATGCGATAAATTGCGGCTTCTTGATTTGTTTTGGGAGGTTTGCTTCTGTTGTGCTGCTGCTGCTGCTGCTGCTGCTGTTGTGACTAATGTTGTTTGCAGTGTTCCCAGTCAAAAGGCCACCTCTCGATCCCTCTGTCTCTACTAGTGAAGCTCTGTCGGGTGTCCTAAAGGCTTTCCCACCATTCACACATACTGATCTTGACACAGGCCAAGTGGGCGGAGTCTATCACGCCGTGATGTCACTGATGGACTCTATAATGTCCGTGATGGACAGCTGGAACTGTAGGAAGAAGGAGGATTGTTGCCCGCGGTGTAGCTGCCTAGTCTGCCGGAACCCGCAGTTCTTTTAAGACGGCACGAAAACAAAAAAAAAGGGTAACAGAAAAAAAACGAGAGGGGGCGAAAAAAACCCCAAAAGAAAGCAGCTACACGGTACAGTACAGCATCCCCTGTGGTGGGTATTCTGTCAGCATTTACCCGCTGCGACTGTCTGAAAACGGCTCTCCGCTGTCTCTCCTCACTGTTTCATAGCTGGCCCGCAGGGGAGATGGCACGGTATGGTCTCCGTGTGCACCCGCCCGTCTTACCTTCATCTTAAACTGCAGGGGGTGCAGAGGGGCACATTATGCGCACGTTTCAATACATAAACCCACGACCACATGAGGTGGACACCAGGACCCATTCGAGGCTCTCCCGCCCCCCTCCCCGAATGCCCCCATACCCAACACCCTCCGACACTTCCTGTCCCGTGTGGTGTCCTCTCTTCTCATAGGGATGGGCCCCTCTGTGACCCCCACCTTGTCGCCGCACATCACATCATTGTTATCATGGCAACCACTTCTTGACATTGTTGTGTGTGAGCTTTCCAGGGAGGGATTTGTGTATTGGCTGCATCATCTGTAGAGGTAGTTATATATAGCTCTGGAGGAAAAAAAATTGAAGAGACCACAACAATAAACACTGGACCATATTTTGACCATCTTTCAGTTCATGCCCTAAATGACAATATTTATATTTGAGGGTAATGTCAGTCGTTTATATAGCTAGCTAATTAGCTAGGTCGCTAGCTAGCTCGCTCGCTCGCTAGATAGATAGATAGATAGACAGATGGATAGATCGATAGAAAGATAGACATTAGCTATTGCTTTAGGTGTTTTTTTTTTTTTTTTGGTAGGGGGGTTATTGTTGCTGTCCAAACACAGAAAGTCTGCACAAACGCAAATATGGGGGTTAAAAGTTAGCGCAACATGTCGTTTTCGTACTTTTCGTCCATTCCGCACGCCCTACACTTTTCACGCTCGGCGCTTTATTTTGTCTTCACGTGCTTCGAGTTGTCTCACACCAGGGGGCGCTCTCTCTCTCTCCCTGTCACACTTTTTTGGAGTCTTCCAGCATGAGCTGCGTGTGTGTGCGTGTGCGTGCTCACGCTTGTGTCTCACGCCATCGTGCGCGCTCCCATCACTCACATCAACGTGCTTCTTCTCTTCCTCGACCACTACCACAATTATTTTCCAGTGTGCCCTCCTAATGTTTTTTTTTTTTTTTTTTTGTCCTTCTTTCTCCCGCAGATTCTCCCACCAGTGACTCGGCCAAGTCAAAGGTGAGTGGTGACTTCCTGCGCAAGTATATGATGACAGGAGGGTGGTCAAGATGAGGACATTGGCATCACGCGACACTTCATGAGGAACACCCAACGTCATCTAATAAGACAAATTCTGCCTTTTTGGAAAGACAAAAGCCCAGTCACAGAGATGTTCGTTTATGGCATACTACATCATACAAGAGCTGTTTGTACTATTTTTCTTTTTCAAGCGTGTCAAAACATTACACAAATGACTCATCGCGAATTTTGTGTCACTCAAGCGTGTTTTTGTTGTTGTTTTTTTTTAAATGTAAGTGAGACGGTACCAAGTAAGGAGAATAAGAAGTAAGAGGAGGTGCAAAGTCAGAGCAGCACAAGGTAGGAAAGGGAGTGCAAAGCCAAGAGAGTGACAAGTAGGCTTAGTGCTGCGAAGTGAGCGTAAAAGGTAGGTGCAGTACAGATGGCTGTTTTCAGGCCTGAAAAGAGCGCCGATGGCATGTGTGTTGATCAGACATGTCGTGTGCGCAGGGTTCCTGGGGCTCAGGGAAGGACCAATGCAGCCGAGAGCTCCTGGTCTCCTCCATCTTTGCTGCAGCCAGTCGCAAAAGGAAGAAGTCCAAGGAGAAAATGCAACCCAGCAGTTCAGATGATGACCTGGATCCGGTTTTCCCCAAGAAGGAACTTCCCGGGCAGAAGGGGGACCCTGAAGGGGACGTCCGAAGCGGCATCAAGGCCAAAGCGGCTGCGAAGAAAGATCAGGAGAACGGCAGAAGTGTTGAGTCGACACCCAAAGCCAAGAGGGATCCGAGGCACCCGTCCCCGGACACCAGCTGCCGAAGCGTCCCTCGGGGAAAAGCCTCCTCCTCCGACCCTCCGTCATCGGACCTCGGTACCCTTGACTCTGGAGCGTCGGTGAAGCCGAAAGCGTCGACCGCGGGAGCCTCCGCCGAGGTGGATGTGAGCTCCATCACCTCGGACTACTCCACCACATCGTCCATCACCTTCCTGACCGGCGCCGAGTCCCTGGCGCTGAGCCCCGAGCTGCAGGGCGGCGAGGAGGCGGACGACGAGCGCAGCGAGCTGGTCAGCGAGGGCCGGCCCATGGAAACGGACAGTGAGAGCGACTTCCCGGTCTTTGCGCCAGGCGCCGGTAGCCAGTCGACACCGTGCCTCGAGAAGGACGGCGAGGGCGGCAGAAACAAGATGGAGGGGCGGCGTCTCTTCCCCACACAGAAGATGATGGAATGCGACACGCTTTCTCGCCGTCGTTCGCTGCGGAACAAGACGGACAGCGAGTCGTCGGCGGAGGCGGCGGGTGGCGAGGGCCGCGCGGAAGCCAGCACGCGGCTGGCGCGGGTCCTGGAGGTGATGAAGAAGGGCCGGTCCACGAGCAGCCTCAGCTCGTCGTCTCGCAGCGAGTCGGAGCGCCCGGAGCCGCCAGCCTGGCACCTCAAGATCACCGAGCGCCTCATGGTCCGGCTGCGCGCCTCCTCCGACGACATGATCCTTCCAAAGAGCCGCGCCTCCGACAGCCGACGCAAGAATATTCGGCGGCGCCACACCATGGGCGGCCAGAGGGATTTTCCCGAGCTGGCCGCCATCCACGACTGGCGGGAGCAAGGCGGCGCCGACCGGACAGCCGAGCTATCGCTGCTCGACCGGTTGAAACCTCGACGGGCCTCACAGGACTTTAGCATCCGTGACTGGCTCGGCGGAGAGCGCAGCCGACGGGGCGGTGGCGGCGGCACCCCGGGAGAATGCGGCCCAGTAGGAGGCGGCGAAGCTATGCCGCCGTCGCCGCCGAACATCGAGGCGGCGCCCATGGCCGTCCCAGAGAACGCAGACCCCCAGGACGCCGTAGCCCCAAACGGCAAAAGCAAGTCGCCGCTCGGAGACGACGCGCACCCTCACAAACTGTCGGGGGCGCATGTGGTGCGCTCACGCTTCTACCAGTACCTCTGACCCCTCGCCCCCCCTCCAACCCAACGCCAGGATGAATGTGTTGTTATCGTACGAACGTGCACTCTGAGCTGCACAGTAGTTTTTTGTTTTGTTTTTTTTTACAAAGTTTATGTGTAAATAACATGTATAGCTGCCATCTTTGTGACTGGCACAATGGATGATGCGCATCGCTGGCCAGACTGGAACTCAACCTCCCCTGCACTCTCCCCCCACCCCTTATTTCCATTATTTTTTTTTTCTTTAGAAGAATGTACAACTTACATACTTGGAGTAACGCAAGTCGCAGTGTACGGTGTTCCTCCAATATTTGCAGGAGGATAGGTACTACCCAAAAAGATTTTTAATTGCCTATAAATGCCAAAAGATGGCAGCAAAGCACTACTTTTCTGCTGGGGCGGGGCAATTGTCTGTCTGAATACACGCCCCTACCCCCGCCCTTTCACTTCTACAAAGTTCTCTGGGACTAAGATGCCACAACAAAATTGTCATGGTAAACATGGCAGATGGACAGGTTCTCACCCAAAAATCTCCAAACGGGGGAAATTGCGATTGCTAAAAACCGAACAGTACCACAGACAGCACAAAATCTGCAGGTAATTTGTAAAAAAGATTTGCAATTGCCTATAGTTCCCACAAGATGTCGACAAAGCACTATTATCTAAATGAATGTTTGTCTCAACGAACGCGATATACTTCCTTGCCACTAGATGGCGCCTAAGTAATGGTTTTTGTTGCTTTGGCCATATTTGTCGCTCGGGGAAAAAAAATCATATTTGCAATTTTTAAACCGCGAATAATCGGGGATTCAATGTACTTGAAGACATAATGTGTAGACATAACTATTGGGACGCACTTGTTGGTCCATCAGTGGCTAAAACTGGAGCCTTAATCCCACATCAGAAACACACAAAAAAAAAAATGATGTACCTTGCTCTCATGGAACACGCGGGGAGCGTGCTGTGGGAATGCCTCATTCGTTGGGTTTGTTTTTGCCGCACAGACGCAACAGCCAGAGATTAGCTTGACAAATATATTGTGATTTTATCAAATAAAATGAAAAGTAATGATGATGACGTACGAGTATGTAATACTTTTGTGTATGGTCATTTTTTTTTCTATTTCCAATCTCTTGTCTAGTTATCGTCCCAAATGGACATTTTATATCAATCTGTTTTTCACCCCAAAAAGGAAAAAAGTGCCTCTTTTTTCCCCCCATTTTGTAACTCTTTCTACGAGCAGTTGTTTTTAAAAGAAATTTGAAGGTGAGCATTCCAACAGGTTAAACTCCAGTTTATTTCTTCACTCGTCAAGTTTCAACGGAGACATGAAGCGTTGCATGTGTTGGCACTGACGTCAGTGCAATGTCCCCCCTCGAAGAACACTGGAAATAAATCATCTTAATTATTATGAGTCGTGTGTCTCTCTTTATTACACGGCTGGCGAGTGCACTGCTAAAAAAAAAAAAAAAACTACATTGACCATTAAATACATTTCCTCGATTAAAATCGAAAACATTTAAATAGAAAACAGGAATTTATTCTGACATGTCATCAACGTGAGTAAGTCGTTTCGAAGCACATTTTTTTACGACGCAAATACATTTTACGGTAGCGTTGCAGTTGCCATTAATGAAGCGATAATATTTTTGACTTAAGTAGGTTCAAATGATCTTGAAATAGATATGTGAATTTTTGTGACATCTCGGGCAGAAGCTGGAGATTGTCGTTATTTACGACGTCGTCCTTGAATAACTTGAATTTGATACAAACAAAGTGTGCGCCGGGAAAGCAATGAAGACGATGCCGGAGACGTCCAATCAGCGTTGACTAGTGACGTAATCAACGCGACCGCACAGCCAAGTTACCATTCAGACGAAGAGGAGAAGTCAGCCCGGAGCGTCCGGATTTGATGTCATCAAGGTAAGCGGCTCTCACCACGCCCATGATAAGAATTAAATGTTATTTTTTAATGTTTTTTATTTTTCTTACTTTCTTTGAAAAGCATTGTATTTAAACTACGTGCTTATGTGCGCCTGTATGCGTGTTTAAAAGCAGTAATAGACAATAAGCAGTCAAGTTAAGTCGAAGTATAGTATTAAAAAAAACGTGTTTGTAAATACGATTTATGAATGATAAATGTGCAGGTTTGTAGATAACAATTGTCCTTATTTAATCATGTAAGTAAGCTTCCGCTCACGTTACACAACTTGTTCAACCTGCGTAACCAGTTGGTTACGCAAAAGCAATGTATATGTGTAGTATAATGTGGCATCTCAGATAAATCGATGTGTTTGTGTGGAAGAGAATAGCGGAATGCCGATGTTGTGCAAGTTTAGTCCGAGTTCAAGAGACCACACAGGAGAATTTTCCTAAGTAGGTTTTATGTGCACATTACCAACACTTTCCCATCTTTAGAAAGTAGCATCAGAGGTGGCACTGCAGGTGTGCAGGAAAACAATTGCAGGTGTCCAATTACTTTTTTTTCTTTTTTTTTTTTTTACACAGCTTCCTATCCATCTCGGTTTCTATCCTTGGGAAAGAAGCATGTTGGTGTTGTGCGTCCTCCTGGCGTTATTGTCTCCTCTGACCTCGGCACAGACGTACCGCTGGGGGGCCTGCCCCATCCCCAAGGTGCAGCCGAACTTCCAGCTCCAAAAGGTAACAAGGATGGCGTCACCGCTCACCTGGCCGTCACTAACACCGCCTCCTCCTGTCGTTGCGGACGTCAGTATTTGGGGAGGTGGTACGAGATCGCCAAGCTGCCCGCCAGGTTCGAGAGGGGGAAGTGCATCGAGGCCAACTACGCCATACGACCAGATGGAACCATCCGAGTGTTAAACTCTCAGTTCTAGTGAGTCCAGACTTGTCTTTCTTTCATCCGTAGATCCAAGGAACCATATTAAAAGTACTATCCCACGAAGCAAAGTCTTCTAGTGGCAAAGATAAAATCCCTCAGAACTAAATTTGTTCCGAAATTTCCTTAACTTCTTCAGTTTTCCATCGTTCTTCGTGACAAAATTCATTCAGACAATTTTGTGATCGTCCTCTTCGCAATTTTGCATTCGTGTGTGTTTGTAGTAAAGACAAAGTACGGACAGCAGAGGGCACAGCAGTGGTCCCGGACCCGAGAAACCAGGCCCAAATTGGAGTCAGCTTCTCCTACTGTAAGTCATTCCTAAATAATACAGAAGAGCACTGTTGCTGTCTAAATTCAATCATGGTGGACCTCGTGTGTGATGACAAAAGACACGCAATAACAAAAACGCACAATCCACTTTTTTGGGGTTTTCTTGTTAGTGTTGACAATGGAGGCCTGTTTGGTAATGTGCAGTCTGGTCTTGTAGTCTCTCAGTGGTCACCTCTGTCCTGCTTAAATAAATCTGTGAGGACATCATCACATGCTTCTGATTTTCACGGAGAATGGCCTTGTGATAGGGACACTTTATTTTTGTTTTCTTTTTTTTAAACTATACCTTGGAATTTCAGTGGTTTGTGGTTGACTTGTATGGCCATTGGAACCACTTACTGTGCTTCATTTCATCTCTGTATGAGTTAGCTTGTCCCTAGCTAGTCATCGGCTTAGCTCACATGTTAGCATCATAGCCGTTGAAGAAAACCTGCCAAAATATAAAATGCTACTTTTTGTTTATGTCGTCATTTGCTGCCTAAGTTCTGAGTTGAATCATAGTAGCTTTTCTATCTATCTATCTATCTATCTATCTTTCTATCTATCTTTCTATCTATCTAGCTAGCTAGCTGGCTATCATACCTAACACTATCATTTTTTTTGTTGCTAACTGGTTAGCATACCAGGCCAGGTAGTTAATAAAATAGATAGAAAGACAAATATATGTGTTTCACCAAAATTAGCATGCTTGCACAGGCTGCCTTGTCTTAAAAAAATACTTTCCAACGCATCAGGTCACCATTGGTTTCTTGTTTGGTTGATCCAAATCAGAGCTTTACCAAATAAGCGGCTAAGCTAGCTACTGGCTAATGAAGCATAGAGGTGACCGGATTGTGCTTGTGGTTATTCTCAGTCGTCCAGATCATTTCTTTCTCAGGGCATTGAATCACTTGGAAATGGAATGATCTGGTCTCTGGTCGGTCCTCATAAAGCCTCGTTGCATGACCTGATGAAGCCCTCTTAGATGAGAGATGAAACATCTTCTAACTCAACCAGAGCAGCCCACCTGCGATTCACTGCCCTGCGAAAGGTCACTGAATCATAATAATAATTTGTGTCTGCCTCTGTCCGCAGTCACCCCCTACAGTCCCTACTGGATCCTGAGCACGGACTACAGCAGCGTAGCCGTGGTCTACTCATGCACCGACATCCTGCGCATATTCCACGTCGAGTACGCTTGGATCCTGGGCCGCTCGCGCTTCCTGCCGCCCGAGACTGTGCGCTATGCTCAGGACCTGTTATTGACTGAGGGCGTGGACCTCTTTCGGATGACCGCCACTGACCAGACGGGTTGCAAGGACGACTAGCGCATCACCGCTACATGCTAACGACTGAATATCTTTATCATTTGGCTTAATAGGCCTTTTCACCATGGCGTCACATGCTTTCCAACACTTAACGCACACAGAGCAGCATGCGACAATACAGGCATGTACATGTGACATGCTAACGCTAAGCTAGCTTTTATACATCACTCCTCTTTTGTGATTTATTTCAAATTCATAGAGCTGCTCGTTATTAAAAGGGGAAAATCAACCAATAATTGAATAATAATATGGTGTATAATAGTATTTATGCTACATTTTGTACCAGTAGCCTACTTATGATTAAAATAAATACTATGTGAGTTTGAAAAAATATGTTATATGTTGGTGTCCTCACTGTATGAGTATATGTATGTATGTATGTGCACAAACTGAGTTTAATGTGCATGCAGTACATCCAATTCCACAAGTGGGCATATGGAGGCGTGTGTGTGCGTGTGTGTGTGCGCGTGTTTGCATGGGAGGTGGTGGTCTTCTTACTCCTCTCAGTCACTAGCCGTGCAAGCAGAAGACCAACGCCAAACAGCAGATCAACAGCAACACTCCTTAACAGGTACATCACAACAAAAAAAACAAAACACATTCATACTTTTACTGAAGTACATTTGAAAACTCGTAATGTGCATTGGGTGCTGAAACGCGTTGTGACGTCGAACAAACATTCCAGTCTGACTTTAATTGTGTTTGTGTTTATTTCAAGGCAGCGAGATGAAGAGTTTGCTTTGCGTCACTGTTCTACTTTGTGTCTTTGTCTTCCACGTCAGCGGTAAGTATTTATGTGAAGACTCACTTGGCTTTTTATTATTGTCAAAATGGATGTGAAGTTTGTACAAAAGTGCAATGATATAGTAAGTTTGATATGCACCAATCAATGCATCAAAAATGATGTTTAATGGTTTTTTTTTTTTAGGGGGGGGCGGGCATTGCGTGTACAAAGACACTTCTGTCTGCAGTGTGTTGAATTCCTCCACCTTGAGTGTGTGTGTGTGTGTGTGTGTGTGTGTCTTGTCCGTGGTCAGCAATATTATTTGGAGAAGCTCGCAGGTCCCCTAAGAGTCTGTCCGGGCTGAATACTGTCTTTGTGTGTGGCAATACTTGGAATGCTTGCTAAATGTTTATCTTTCTCCTCTCTCTCTCTCTCTCTCTCTCTCTCTCTCTCTCTCTCTCTCTCTCTCTCTCTCTCGCTTTCCTGCTCCACAGAGGCCAGAGTCATTCCAGAGGGGGGTAAAGCACAAACATAACTATTCTATAATATAGGTCTTAATATTATTTGCAGCTTGATAAAAATGAATGAAGAAAAAAAAATAAACATTGATCATGTGGCCTTCTTCGTATTCAGTGCCGTACGATGAACCCCCAGCTGTCCCGTACTGGCCATACTCCACCTCGGACTTCTGGAACTATGTGGAGTACTTCAGGTCCATTGGGGCCTACAACCACATCAACGAGATGGCGCGGGCCTTCTTTGCCCACCAGCAACTGGGGGACACCCTGGGCTACGACAGCATCGCCGGACATGAGCACTGAGGGGCCAAGATGGACTGGGAGACCTGAGAAGTTTTAGAAAAAGGCAAAGAAATTGCTAAAGTAATTGTAGCACAGCCATACTTGTATAGAGAGATGTAGGTTTTGCTGTAGTTATAGTAGCATTTTTTTTTTTTTAGATTTGCATGACGCTATCATGTAATTAATTTAAAATAAATCCACGGTGTTTCAATTATGTTGACTTTTTTTTATTATTCTGTTACCAATGTAAATTTAATGTGAGTTATGCATGATTGAAATGAAACATTTATTTTGGAAGTTATGAAGGGGAGGTTTAAACAGAAACGTGTATTTGGACAATTTCAATGAATATATTTTAAACACATGTTATTTGTGAGTAGAAATACCTTCAATAAGAACAAAATTCCACGTTTTATTTTTTGAAAGTGTTTATAAATGATGGCACCGGTTCGGTTCGGAATTTTTTTTTTGGACAGAAACTGGTTTGAAGCCGAGCACATTTTCGCGTCACACGCGCATTATTTTGCTCCAGCAACATTTGTTGAACACTGTGTTATTCAAGTCAAAAGAACCAGGCATATATTTTTGGTATAGTATGCAAAAAAATGCAGTACATAGAAACAGTAGCATTAAAATACAAAATGGCGAAAGTACATTTCGGAAAAGTTGACAGAGGATCGAGTTTGAAGCCGAGGACATTTCAGCGTCGGACGTGCTTTGTTTTGCTCCTAGCAGCCAGCACAAGCTGACAGAGTTACTCAGCTCAAATTAGTCAAAAAGACTGCTCTTGAAAAAATGAAGCCTGCCGTGGACGAGATGTTTCCGGAAGGAGCAGGACCATATGTGGATCTGGACGAGGTTTGTTCGTCCGTTTTTGTTTCGAAATAAACACGGCTAAAGCTGGTTAGCTTGCTAGCCAAAGGATACCTGCCGCTGCCTGCGTTGTAATCGTTTCGCTCGGTTATCTAGTACGTACTACAAATAAACGCACTACATATCTTTGTGACACTAACAGCAATATAGTTCTTTTTAAAATCATAAATTGCTCGATTTATGTGTTCGAATAGTCAAACTGTGGAAAAGATTTAAATGCGTTGCACCGTCGTATGCCTGCAGGCAGGGGGCAGCAGCGGCCTTCTGATGGACTTGGCAGCCAATGAGAAGGCAGTTCACTTGGACTTCTTCAATGGTAAACGTTCCAACACGTGGCATGCATTTAAAAAAGTCAATTTAGGCCTTTTAGGTAAGATATATAATATACAGCAGGATTCGACAAAGTCTGGCTCCATCTTTAATAAGTAATTCGTCACTGATTTGCATATCAAGAATCCTGTCATGTTTGTTGCCTCCATTTAGCATTTCCCTCAATTAAACCTTAGTGGAGTATACTAATTTTTTTTCCTCTTTAGCTTTTTTATTTATTTATTTATTCATGTTCAGAGTAGTAAAATTAGAACTAAATTTAAAAAAACTGCTAAATACATCTGGCTGTTCAACTTAACGTCATCCTGTTGATTGAAAAGTTAAATTTCCATACCAGTTGGCACGCTCATACAAGACATTTAAAAACCCAAAAAGTAACAAACTCAGTTAATGTGTTTTGTTTCCCGCGGTGCTTGGCCACCGGCTCAAGACAAGGCTGCGCAGCACAGGAGCGGGACGAAAAGCGCTGATTGTTAAAACGAAGCGCGCGGCGCGGGAAAGATGCTTTATGGCGGAAACGCAGCACGGCGCCGCCCCACTCAGCTGCTTTTAGCGTGCACGCCAGCGAGCGCATATGGCGCTTGTTAAACGGCGCTTGTACACGCTAAGTCTCGACTAGCTCGAGGGATGAGAACTGGCGCCATGGCTCATAGGAAGCGGCGTTGAAACGCAGCCTCTACTAGATTTTAGCAGAAATGAAGAAAACATGAGTAAAATCGCACAAAAAGGGAGAATAAATACAAACAAATACATTTGACAATAAATAGCGAAAATTGTACGCATGTAAGATTGACCCTGCGAATCACGCTGGCCCCTTTGGCGCTTCAACTCGTCTTTCTTGCAAGACGGTTGCTGTTTAATCAGTTTTTTTTTTTTTTAAACCTGTGGAGGCCTCATCTGACCTCGTCCTCACCCTCGTCTCCTCCTTGCAATAACAGCATTTACTCAATCTAATTTGTGCCCTTAAATTCCCCATTGCAGCTTGTTTTTGTGAAGAGAACACATAAAATACAACTTGAGGATGAGGAAAGATTTTTTTTGTGTTTGTTTGTTTGTTTGGTTGGTTTTTTTTTTGGATGAGGGGGTGCGCAAAAGTTGACTGGCATGTTATAACACCAAATTCATTCAACTCATTTTCTTCCCACTTTGTCTTTCTTGTTCCCGCCTCTAGACTTTGAGGACCTTTTTGATGACGATGACCTGCAGTGACTCCACACCCCCGCACGCCTACACGCACTCACCTTCATGAACATGTCCATACGAATGAAACGTGTCCCTCTCAAATAAAACTTGGTTTCAAAAGCAGCCGAAGAACTAGCCCCCCCCCCCCCCCCCCCCCCCCCCCCCCAACGCCCCCATCCTCAATCCTGAGAATGACTGACATTCCAGCTTTGGAGAAAATTATGCGTATGTGTTTTTCTGGAGATTTGCGGGCAGCCACGAACACCTGTTAGCCAAACGTAATTACACACGAGATGCGAGCCGAGCGTCAAAACAGCCGGCAGGACGGGAGACGTCGAGAAACGCCGGCGGGTCCGACGCGGCTGCTGGTTGGCACGTAGGGGGGTGGAATGCCCACGCGACACATTAGCACAAATTAGCATCACAGTGGCTGTGAAGGTCACATTGTTACCATGGCAACAAAAGTCAGCCCAAACAAAACAAGATTGAAACCTTGAGCGTCCATGCGCCTTTGGAAACAAAACATTCAACCTTCCCTTCAAGTCCAATTAGAATTTCAGCCTCTCTCCCGCGTTCCCACGCAATTTCCGCCGCACCACAACTGGGATTCACCAGATGCCGGTTTCCACTCCCCGAGGAGCACCGTCAGCCTCAATGCTGCGAGATGGACAGTCAGCCATTGATCATGTCTCAAATGAAAGACGCTCGAACAAACAATTGTTTCTCCGGCAAGAAAGGTTGGCAGCTGCGGATTTGCGCTTGAGCGGCGGCAATCCTCAAGCGGCCGGGGGCTCTCCAAGGGAGGGGAGGGATGAGGCTACCATGCGCTGCTGGGACCAAACGGAAAAAGCATCGATGGCTTTTTTTAAATTTTTGATTTTAAAACATAACACTTCATACCCAACAAAAGTAGCCTAAAAAAACAAGTTTTTAGTAGTCTTTAACCCCTTCAGGGACAGTGGCTACTACAGTGGACAGCTAATCAGGTTACAGGGTGCATGAGACGTTATCATCGCAGTTTTTCACATTCGGTCCCCAAAAAGTCCGAGCTTGTCTCTAAAAAGGCTAACGTGCCTCAACACGGCGCCTGTGTGCAGGAAGCCGAAGATTAGCAGATTCCTCATGTGCCGAACAGCTGTCACTCGCGAGTGCGCCTTTTCGCTCACGCTGAGCTCCCGAGCGCTGCTTTTGTGTTTGCGGGCTTCAGGCAGCAGCCTCCGAGAAGTGCTTATGTGGCACCTCATTAGTGTCTCGTGTCTTCTGGCACCTCGTCGACGTTGCGGCACCCGAATGCATCTCGAGTATCACGGAAAGCTGAAATAGGTTGTGTGAATGCTGAGAGATGACATTAACAAGAAGTAAAGCAAGGCTTGAATACTTTTTTGAAAGCTTTTAACTATATTCAAAAAAAAAATATTGGCAAAAGTGTGAATGCTCATTTCTCAGCATTGCCACAAAAAGAAAGAAGCTAAATGGATTTTCAAATGCTGCCACGATGAAGGAATGACTTGTGCGAATGCTCGTCTCTCAGCAGCCACGCAATTTGCTATATTTTCTTGTGTCATACAGCCTGAGTGTGAAAGTTGATCTTTCAGCATTCAAAACAAAACCATCATTTGTGTGAATGCTCATCTTTCAGCATTCATACCATCAGAAGCAAAATATACGCATCAGATGACTTGGTCCTAATTTTACAGGTCCGCATTTTTTGTTGTGAAACTGCATTCATTTTAATGCGTGCCTCTGCATTCATCTAATAATCACCAAAATAGAGGTTTTAAGATGACAACGAATTTTCCTGAATGCAGAGGGAGAGGTATGAGCACAAGAAGTAACAGTTAATCAGTAACCGACCTGTTTGCATGACCATGCCTAATGACTCAGATGCGAATGCTCATCATTCACGTGTCGAGAAGATAAATGCGTTCACCAGCACAAGCGAGCGCATGAGTGAGAATGCTCGTCTCTCAGCATCCGCGTGATCTCCCATCATCAAACAACTGTGTGAATGGTTTGACTCGCTGCAGGACTAAGATTACCGGAAGAGTGTCCCCATTCATTTTGGACCAGCTTTTTTTGTCCTGCATGCTTGAAATAAAAAATTTCCATGCACATTATTAGAGTGAGCGCTCATCTCTCAGCATTCCCCTGAAAAAGAAAAAAAAAGCCCTCCCACCTTTTTGCATCCTGCTTTTAATTACCCTTCCTCTCATTGGTTCGGCGTTTGGAAGCCCTTGGCCAGTCAGAGCCTGTGTTGAGGTGGCCCTCCACTCTGTGTGTTTGTGTGTGTGTGTGTCAATGAATACCTGTTGTGCATTTGTGATGACGGGCCTGGTTTAAAATCTGCCCCAAGTTTTTGTGCGAGGCAGTCTGTCTCAGGGAGGTCTGCTTCACAGTCGTAATCACACACTCGGTGTTCCGCAAGAGTCTATCTCGGACCCCCAGTCAGTGTTGTCGCCAAGGGGAACCTCAGGTAAGAGGAAAAGGTTTTGCCCTGTGCGGTGGTTCAAAAACTACTTTATGTGACTCTTTTTTTTTCCATCCGGGTAGGAGACCAGACAAGACGAGCTGAGTAATGGCTGCCCACAGGAGGACCGGCCTCTCCGGCGTGCTTGTCGCCGCCACGCTGGCCGTGGTCATCGTGCTGCTGCTGCTGCCCGGTGAGTTGTCAACAACGCAGTGAGGATCATCAAAGTCATTGCTGGCAAAAGTGCTGACGAGACTCACCGAGAAGCTTTTGAAAAGTCAAACCGTAAACATCCTTCACAGGAGGCGGCAAAGGTACTCACGCTCCGTGCTTCGGTAGAAGAACAGATACTTGTGTGGAAAAAAAACAAATCTTGAAGTAAAAGTAGAGGTACGGATTTAACTCATTCAACCAAAGTAAAAAAATATCTTTTTTTACTTTCATGCACAAATAATAATAACCTACATCTGGATTTTTTTTTCCTCAAGTGTTTTTGATCGTCTTTAGCCGTGAAAAAAAAAACACAATAGTGGCAGTGGACGGCAACACGCTTGAGGGTCCATTGTCCTGAAAGGGATAAAAATGTTTACAACCAAAATATATACATTCACATGCTGTATTTCTTTTATATTAATGTCATAAAAATATCTGCACAAACATATATTTAATGCAGTCAATCAAAAATATATTGCAACATAATTCAGCTTCCCTCACTGGATGAATTATCTATCGATGGATCGCTCTATCTATCTAGTCTATCTCATCTATCGATCGAGGACATTTCGAGTTGGAATGGTATTAACATTTCTTCTGATGTGTCTCATTGTCAAAAAATGATTACGCAACATAGTCATGAATCGCTCAAGGTGATGAAAAGGACGTTTATTCTGCTCACGCCGTGTCGGCGAGTGGCTCTCAAGTTGCGTCTTAATCATAATAATCATCCTCCCCTTCCTTTTCCATTTTCTCGCTCGGTACTGTTTGGCTCCTGTGTAAAAATAACTACCTGTCAGCATCACGTCTTCAAAGTGACGCTCCGCTGTCAGATGTGATGGACACTTTTTTTTTAAATTGGCTTGTAAAAAAAAAAATAAATAAAATTAATTACACTAAGGAATCATTTATTCCCATTAAATATAATGCATACAGGCTTGGAAAAAATGTGTCTTAAAAAAAACAACACTACTTTTTTGCATTTACTGTCATCACTTGTTCTCAAACGTTTTACTTTATACGTTTAAAAAAATAAATGAATAAATAAATGCTTAATTCTCCAAGTGTCATTCATCAAGGGCAGCGGTTACTACAGTGGACAGCTTATCATGTTATTAGGTTACAGGGTGCATGAAAGGGTTTAAAAAAAAATTAAGCAATGATTCAATTCAAATGGAAACATACAGAACTGCAATCAAAGTTTCAAAACAGAAAACTCTAAAAAGATGAAATGCCAACGCGTTGAAGTGAAAAGTCGCACCCGAATTGTGTGCGCGAAATTGATTCCTGACACACTTTTACGAATCTCTGCTCAAGAAGAATAAAAAAAATTTACTCCAAATTCTCCCTGAAATCAGCAAAATCAGAGGGCTGACAATTCTACAGTGGTCTGTTCATTTTTCCCCCCCCGAGTAGTATATTTTTCACTTAACAACTTCCCGCCGTAAAGCCCATTCGTGCTTCCTTTGAATTCACCCGAGTGATGTTTTGCCTCAGCCTCCCATGGCCCTCCTGGTCGTCTTCGTCGTCCTCCTCCTCCTCCTCTCCTTCTGGAAGGCATTAACACCTTTTCCCCGTGGAGATGAAAGAAAAGCTGAATTCACTGTTCCTTCATGCACGCACACGCAGCTTTTGAGGCACAGCGTGCGGTCCGGTGTCCGGGGCCCGCCTATAAAAATGTACAAAGAGCCGCAGTCAGAAAAAGCCCCGCAGGGGCCGAGGCGAGCAACCATTGACAAGAATGCGCGGCCGTAAGCGTTCGAGCGGCATCGTGGGGAGCGTGGCGCAGAAGCACCGTCCCAAGTTGCAAAGGGCTCGTGATTTTTTTTTTTTTTTTCCTTTTTCCTGACGGGTGTCGTCTTTCCTCTCTTGTGTGTGTTGCAGCCGACGTCTCAGCAGGACCCGTCGCCGGCAAGGCCACACCGGACGGTAAAAGTTGTATTACTAGTAGTAGAAGTCGTTTAAGTGTCCTGCATTTCCCTGACTGATTGACATCAAAGCGTTTGACTTTCAAGTCTCTTGACGTGAGCCGTGCGAGTGATTTAGCAAAAGCCGGCGGGATTAACGGCGTCTTTTGCCTTCCCTTCAGCCGGGGAGAGCATCCGGGCGAGGGCGGAGGCAGCGGCGGCCCACAGAAGGCTGAGCCGCAACCGCAGGAACATCAGCTGGTACAAGCAGCACTCGGATTTCTGGAGCTGGTACAAGTACTTCACCGACAACGGCAACCAGGAGGCGGTGAGTCGATGCCACCCCATCCTCCCCCCCCGAAATGATCCAAAGTAAAGTGACATTGCAACTAGCGTATTGACCCGAATATAAGACGGTGTTTTTTGCATTGAAATAAGACTGAAAAAGTGGGCGTCGTCTTATATTCGGGGGTCTGGACATTATACCCATTCACGACGCTAGATGGCGCCAGATATCATTGAAGCGAATGCTGAACTTGACTCCCCAGGCCAAAGTGAACCCCTGTCACGAAGAATAAAAATAAAAATAACGGTTGCACGAAGAGGAAAAAATAAAAAAATAGCGGGAAGAAAGAAAGGAGAAGAAAATAATAGAAGAGATAACAGAAAATGGAGAAACGTAGCGACAATCTGGAGAAAAGTGGGTCGAAGATCGGCCAGGTTAACCGGCAGCTGAGGAGAAGTTATGATGTAATCTACATTTCAAAAACCAGAAGCCATTCATTTATGAATGTGATTGCATTTGAGTTTACATATTTAAATGTTCAGATATTAAGATTTGAATGAGGCAAAATAACATGCTTTTTCTCTCAAATATATTGTTAGAATCATTTGTTTCAGATGTACTGTAATTATTTTCTGTATAAAAATTAATTTGGTGTTCAAAAAGTCTTTTTTTCAAACTTGAGTTTTGAAAAAGATGGGGTCGTCTTATAATCAGGGCCGTCTTATATTCAGGCCAATACGGTAAATGGAATCTCGGCCCCCTTCAGGTTCAGGAGCTGGACCGCATCTACCTAACCTACCTCCAGAACAAGAACCGCGCCGAAGGCCGTCGCTCTTACAAAGCCTACCTGCGCCACCTGGGCGAGATCTACAAGTCCTGCGCCGACTCGGACGACCCCAACTGCGTGGCATCCTACACCAGCAGGGCCAAGCCTGAGCCCCCCAAGCCGGCGCCGGTCAAAACCTGCGACCCCACCAAGGACGCCTACTGCCTGTACGCCGCCTTGGTGGCTCGGAAGAGTCCCTACATGCCACTGGTGCTGCCTGCCGCTGCCCCGGCCCAGGCCCCGGCTCCGGTGAAGTCCCCCGCCCCTCTTTTTGTACGACCCGCCGCCGCAGCCAAAGAACCTCAGTCGGGTTACTACTACTATGCACCGTCATCAGTTTCTTTCCTCTCCAAGGTATGACATCACACCGCCTTTACAGTGTTTTCCAACCGCCGTGGAGCGAAGGCCCAGTGGAGTCCAAGTGTCTCTTGTTTTCAGGAGCAGAAGGCGGAGCTGCTGCGCGTCTGCGGGGCCGAGGACGTTGAGTGTTTGCAGTACCACCTGAGGGCCGCCTACGGCTACCCGCCCGCCGCCGGGAACTCACCGGCTTACGCCCACCTGGGCTGCGACCCGCAAGTGGACCCCACCTGCAAGCCTCAGAAGGCCTCGTCTGGGCTCTACCAGTACCCCAACTGTGACCCGCTCAGGGACCCATACTGCGCCTACGTTGCCTCCCCCATGGTGAGTTTTAATGTACTTGAGATGTCCTGGCAAGTAACCAAGTATTTGTACTTCGTTGGCAAAATTCCCATGTAATCAGCATTTTTCCTTGCAGGCTCCCCGAGTGACCAACCCCGCTTCTGGCCCGGGGTCCTGCAACCCCATCTTTGAGGACGGTTGCAACCCCCTCACCGCCACCAAATTCGTCACACCTCAAGAGGCATACAAAACGGAGCCGAGCGAGGAGGCGGCTGCCATCCGGGTTCCCCCTCCCGCCGCCGACCACTACAGCGACCCCTATGGCATGTATAGAGATGCTAACGCTAATGCTAACAGGGTGACTGACCCTTACGCCACGTACCGCCAGGCTAGTGCCCCGGCCGCGCCGCAAGTCAATGATCAGTACGCAGTGCTGCGGCGCTTCATGGCACAGGCACAGGGCAGCGACCCGTACGCGCCCCGCATGGAGTCGACGCCCGAGTCCAACCCCAACGATCCTTTCTCCGCCATGAGAGACACCGCCTCCGCTACCATGCACCGCCACAGTGCCCGCCAACACTACCTGTTCTCACCCCCAACTTACGAGGAGCCTACCAGGGAGGAGCGCCACCCTCTGGGCCCGCCAGGAAAAACCAAAGAGGGCTACGACTGCTTCATCGGGTATGACCGCGATTGCTTCCCGCTGCAGCCGGCCGAGCCCCGATCGAGCGCCCACCGCCGCATCCCTCATCCCGCCGAGGCCTACGAGCCCCACCTGAAAGCCGACGGCACTCGCGACGGCGTCCTGGAGCCGCCCAACCCGCACTGCGATCCAGAGTTTGACAGCGACTGCCGCCTGCGCCGCCGCGAACCCGAGCCGCCCCGCCACGAGGACCAACCCCAGCGCCCCAAGGCCCAACCGGAGGTGCCGGAACAGGACCCTTACGAGGCCGAGCCCTACCAAAGCGGCCAGGAGGAGCCTCACGTGTCCAACGTGCCGACGCCCCCTCAGGGAATGCCCAGCCTCCAGGACATACTGAGGAGCTATGGCGACCACTTCCCCGAGCAGGACGACTACCGCAAGAAGTAAAGTGCAGACACACGCCAGCTTGTAGGTGCACAAATGCCCTCAAAGATTTCCGTCCCACCAGACCCCCACATGATGCCAGTCCATGGACCCAATGAACACGAGAGCGTCCTAAGGTCGTTCGGCGCTTTTGATTTGGGGCGCTCGGGTATCACTCGCAAGACCTCAGGCCTCCTCCAAGCACTGCAATGCATTGTGACTTGCAAATGCTCTGCTCTGCTCGCCATCTCGCCACTGACAACTTCTGTAAAGTTTTTTTTTCTCCCCGCTTTGGAATGTTCTAATAAAAAGCTCTTGAAAGCTGTTTTTTTAGCCATTTTTCATTCCTCAGTAACATTTAGTCACATCATACATATTTTGCGCACTTTGCAAAGCCAAAATGGCTATGTTGGACATTTCAAAATAATTTTCGTCAATTTTTGAGAATTGGATTTTTCCAAATGGGTCGCGCTTCCTCGTTTGTGTGTGTGTGTGTGTGTGTGTGTGCTCAAGCAACTTGTGTCCTGACTATCGTCATTGCATCGCATTGAGTCAATTATGGCATCTCCAAAATGGTTGCAAAATGCCTGCACTTTATCTTCAGCCTGGAAGGATAAACTTCCTGTCTAATTTGAGTCAAGTTGTGTAACGGAACGACGTTGCCATGGCAGCACAACAGCATGAAAACATGACGGCATTATACACTTAGCAGGCGCTCTCCAACGTTATGAAATCGGTTTTCTTGTTATTTTGGTTTGTATTTTTACACAGTGCGTTCAAAATATAGAAACTTTACGAGTCACTTCACCCCCCCCCCCACCTCCCACCACCACACACACTTGTGATATTTCTGGATTGCATGAGTGATTATTAATTTTAAATTAAATTTAAAATCCAATTAATTTCCTAATTTATAGGGAAGCAAGTTTTAAAAGATACATATAACCTGTGACCCACAAAATTTAGCTTCAAAGCAGAAGTGAATGACGGTAGAGGGCAGAACATCACCATGTTGTGTGTGTCGAGATGAATTCAAATGAAGTGATTGTCTTGCTGTAATATTTATTGATTCGCAGGGTTGAACAAGTGAGTCACAAAGCTTCTGACTTCCTGCCAACGTCTAATTTGTGGGTCCATGCAGCGCAAGGAGCTGGAGGCGGAAAACGACTTCCTGCGGCGTTGATGAGACGCAGTGCCGTGCGTACGTGTGACTCCGTCTCCCAGGAGGAAGTGAGTAAGACCAGTTTGTATCCCAAAATACACAATTGGGCTCATCACAGCTGTCGTTGACATCCGTATGACATGGCGTGATTCACTGTGGCGCACCCCACTGGTATCAACACAATCCCAGTCATCGGAATTGGAAGTTGAAATCACACACAAAACTGATATTTGAGTTTACGCTAATTCAACCCTCACCCTACCATAACTTCCAAGAACGGTATCTCATAACTTGTAGCACAGTATACATGGATCAATATTCTCATTTCTTGGACGTAATATTTGAAATGTTCTGTCAAGCACTTTGTTAAATGAAGCTGTATTGTATTGTGGTGTATTGTATTCCCCTTTGCGTAGCTCTAGCTAGTGCAGACCCGGGCATTTTACGGCCCGCGGCCCGGCTCTTATTGGGTTGCTTGATTGTAAGAAAATAAAAGCTAGAGTACTTTCAAAATGTTTGATTATGCATGTTGCGCCGTGGTCCGGCTCTTACTGGCCTGTGAAAAGAGATTTGGAATTAAGAGAATAATAACTACTGTCAAAATATTGCATCATGCGTGGACTAAAACAGTAGAACTTTTACTTTGAAACCTGCTTACGGCGTGCGTGCGTCTTTTTACTTACAGGTACTCTGGACGAATCCGCTTGATGAGCAACAAGTCACGGTAATGGTAACCCTTCAAAATGTTCGCCCCCCCCCCCCAAAAAAAAAAAAACAACCTGAAAGTGGACGCTGAATGCCGTGGTTTCAAGAAAATACGGACTGTTAATATTTATTGACCGAAGTCAGGCGTAAAGCCGTGTGTTTAGGTTGTGGTGAGCCGGGCGCCATTTTGAAGGAGTATAACGTGAGCCGGCATGAGGAGACGGACGAAACATTCGAAAAAATGAAGACATTTGACTGAGGCTGAGAGAGCGCAGATATCCGAAGATTTGCTCGATAAACAACAAGGCTATTTTACCAAGCTACACCGAGCCCGGGAAGCAGCAACCAAGACCAGCTTTGAGACAGCCCACAACATCGCGAAGAACACGAAGCCATTTCCCGGAGGGGGAATTCGTTCAAGAGTGTGTTTGGTGGACTTGGCAGCGCCGATATGTCCGGAGCAACAAAAGAAGTTCACCAAATCCAGGTACAGAACCCTCTCTTACTGATGTTCATCTGTCATGTGTGCTTCACATCTCCACCTCTAATATTCAACCTGCTTCGATGCACCTGTCGAAGCTCAACAGAAGCGAGATTTAGCTCACTGAAAACTGAGATTTTTTTTTTTAATCTGCATTGTTTGGCAGTTGGGACAAAAAATGTTACGTTATTACTGGCATACAAAAACATTGTGGTATCTTCATGGAAATCGGAAAAAAAATCAGAAAGCGTTGTCCTGTTCATGTTCCTAAAAAAGAGTTACAAATATTGCACAATTTCAATTGTCTTGCATAATTTCACTGAATAGGTTTTTGTAAAACAATCAAACTCATCAGCTTCTGTAAACAATGTCATTGACTTCTTTCAACTAGAAATAATATTGATAACTGGAGTAGATTTCAATACTTTTGGCCCAGCCCTCCACAATATTTTCTGCTTTGCATTTGGCTCCCCGGGGAAAAATAATTGCCCACTCCTGATCTAGTGGATACATAACGCAACGGCATCTACTTTTGTAGCTTCTCTACTATGCACCTTATCATCCGGTACGCCCCAAAAAATGAAAAGTTTTAAAATAGGCCGTTCATTGAGGTTGCGCATTACACTCTGAAGTGCCTACTAGTGCGGAAAACACGGTACATTTTTTGTGGGGGGTACTACATTTTAAACTGCCTAACCCCTAAAGCCTAATCACATCCTTGGCAATAGATAAAACTGGAACACTCATTTGGGAACGGGGCATGCAGAGCTGCGCTATAATTCCATTCTGAGCGTCACATGTTGTTCTTTAACCAGAGGAGGAGGTCAGTGGGACCGGAGTCAGCAGTTTTCCTTCCGGGAGAGCAACTTGGCTGGATTAGATGGACGGATGGTCCTCCATAATGTCAAGGAAACTAGCCGGCAAGGCGCTCTTTGCATCCCCTTGCCGTGGCTTATTAGCTGCGTGACTTTCAGTCGCTCTTCACACCTTTACTCTTGAAGTGAATTTTTGGACTCACTTGCATTAAAGTCTTCCCAACTCATGTAGGACAAACACAACTTTGCAATGTCACTTTCTCTTGGATGTTTCTCCCCCGCAAAATGGCAGCCCGGGAGGCAGGGCGGTATGAGTGCAAATTTGATGTTGTCCTGCTCATTTTGAAAACATGTGACATCCTGACGGAACGGCGCAAATCAAATAGACGCGAGATGTAAATGCACTCTGCTTCGCGGTTCAAAATGAAATAAAAGCTCGAAATTGACATGGAAATGGCTGCTATTTAATTAGAATCGGAAGCTATTTGGCATGTAGTCCAACGTGTCGACTTGGATGCGGAAGAGCCTTGAGGTGGCGCCTGCGGGGCGTCTCTTTGTGTCCACATTCAGTCACTTGTGACAACCCGGGAACGAAGCTCAGCCAGGCGATGTGGAAACAGCTGCCCTGGGTTGTCGTGGAAACCTCGCAGTGATAAGATACCCTCACCCCCGCACCCTTGTGGTGTCTTGCTGCTAAACTGTGTTTATCTTGCCATCCTCACTCATCCATCAAGCCGCCGCTCCGAGGGGCCACGTCCCTCACTTACTGTGCATCTGATTAAATATTAATCTTCTTTGAAAATCCCTGCAAGCCATCTCGCTCTCTCTTAATGTGTGTTGTGTCTCTTAGCCAAATTTAGGGCAGCCCATCGGGGCCCCCGCGACCCCCTATTTATTGCCCTCCAATTGAATTAAAAACAAAGTAATGGAACACTTTGGAATGAAGTTTTTTTTTTTAATTTCAGAAGCCATACTCGCACCCAGTCCCTCTCTCGAGATTTGGAGGGTTTTCATAACTTGCTACAAATAACACATAATGGTTTAGATATGGGACACTTTCAGCCTCATTATTAATCTTTCCTCATTTTTCAGCGTGCTCGGGGACAAAAGAGAAATCCTTTTCACACTGTTAACGACCCAAACCAATTCAATGGCGCTATTTTGTGATGTAAACTAATTAACTGCATGTGTTTGTGCCCGCGTTATCAGTGTCTGAGGTGGCGTCGCGCAAAAGCCTCTCAACACGTTGACCAGGAGAGCTCACGAGTTCTTGACACTTTTTTTTTTTTTTTTGTGCGTCTGCAAAGTGAAAATGGATTTGAGGGCTGAATGTTTTTGAAGGACTCCTGGAAAATGCCAGATATTACCCCTCCAAATTGTGCTTCACAATTCTTGTCTTTTCAGACATGGTTTCTTCAGATATTTTTCAAGAACACCAATTTTTAAAAAATATGGTGCATCGTATTTTTTGCGGAGCCTGAAATGCAATACAGGATTCGGTTTTAGCTGTAGTGGATGTGCGGTGAAGAGTTGCGACATTTTTTTTTTTTTGCTTTGTTTTGTTTTTTGCAGATGTTCAGTTAGGCCATCCAAATTTACATTTTTTTTTTAATATATATATATATTTTTTTTTACATTGACTGTAATTTCGCTGGAGGTTTAGCCATTGTCATGCGGCTCACGTGAGTATGACTTTTGCGATGTAAGAAGCGATCGCTGCTTTTATCGATTTATTGCAGCCCCTCAGCTCATTGTTCGTCCGCGCCGCGTTAATATTCCCTTTCCATCTCGACAAGCGTGACTTGTTTGGCGGCGTTTACAACGCTAATCTTTGCTTCGGCTCCTTTTGGATAACGCCTCGGATAATAAGTTGCGGCATGGAGGGCGAGTGAGGAAAAACAGTGAGAAATTGGGGCGACATGCCTGTTAATAACTGCTGGATTAGTCGAATATTTGAGTTGTGTTGTGAGTCATTCCAGAATTGCAGGACAGCGTTTTTCAAAAACAGACCATTTATTAGCATCATTCCATTTGTTTTTTTTTTCCCCATCTCAACCACCATCACGTTTTATCATGCGCCGTGTTTGGCGCAACCGTATTTTCAGAGCCATTCGCTTGTCTTATTTAGCTCACTTTTTTCTGCCCTTCTTCTCTACATAGCTGAAAAGGTTTTTGGAAACAGCCGGGTGGGGCTGTTGCCATATTAGCTAACATGCTAATCGAGCGATGAAGCTTCGTAGCTCCATTGGCTTCCGTCTGTGCTAACAGGTGTGCTAGTTGAAGGGAAGTGGCTTTCTTTTTGTCAATGAAGGATCATTAGCAAATGTTAAAAAATTATTAGACCCATGTGATATGATAATGATCAAAATGTGCTGTTTTCCTCACAAAATACTCCGTTTTATAACATGTTGATTCGATGACACGCCGAGGCAGATGCTGTATAACGTGTTGTTGTCAACGAGTTCCCGTTTCTCAGGAGCCATCGGACTTCATTTCTCATAGGTAGGGCCAGATGGCTCCTGTTTCCCAGGACCGGTCTCATGACAACATAACAGAATTGCGTGAGAAAGAGTTGTTCAGCATAATAGTTTGTGAAACGCCAGTTGATAACGAAACAAGTGTGGCGCCAGAAGGGCTGAGTTGGCCACTCACCCCTTCTTTCGCACACGCTCAGAGAAGGATAAGAGGAGACTTTGCCATCCCCTTGCTAGAGTCTGCTGCGGGTTGCGTACTGACGGGACGCCCAGCTGGTATTGAAGCTCGCTCTACCAAGGGTGTTGGCTCTCCACCCTATTGGCGCACGGTAAGAGTTGATTCATGTCTTTGTAGCTTAATACCTCGCTTGCTGTGACATATTCTGTGGCGCTAATAAACGTGCAATTTGTTAGTAGCAGATTTGTCTCTTGTGATTCATTTCTGAGTGCCTATCTCCAACGATCCTATTCTAAATTTGATACTGAGCCAGGGCGAGGTATCAGAAATGTTTTAAAACACCATGTAACTGCAAAAAATAAAATAAAATAAAAAGACACAAGGAGAGGTTTTAGCGTCGTGACTGTTAGGTCTTTTCATGTACATTGCTCATATGAAAATGAAAAGGATTGTAGCTTTCTTTCACACTCGTTTGAAAACATCTGACATGTCGACACAAGTTTAGCTTTTTACGAATTGAGCAACTTGGCAACACGTGTCTTCAAGGTGGGTTCACGCATCATGCTAACACGTCAAAAGAAGGATTACGGCTTCCTTTTGGCCCGCAGCCACATCTCTGCTACACAACTTGGCAAACGGGAGGCTTTTGTCGTGAGTAACAATGTACGATTCATCACTTTGCCACCTTTTAGCGTACCAGCTGTGTAGATTTCAATCATTTGTCCACAAAGTGTACACCAACCAACAAAAGTTTTATGACATCTGAGTCGTATTCTTCATGGGAATGTTCATCGGAGAAGAGCTTCTGGGAAACACTTGTGTGGATACGAACTGCCAATGGTAGTTTGTGTTCAAGTCACACTGGGTCCAAGTCCAGTTTTTCTGGCTACTCATCGAACATCCACAAAAAAAAAAGTTTGAGATATGATGGGATTTATAATTGGCCATGGAAACGTTTGGAGATGACGAAATTAAGTCATACAGTGTAAAACCATCTCCAGTCAAGACGTCGTCACTCTCTGTAATGAGCCACCAGAGTCAGTTTCGGCTTCGGACCGTTTGTCAGGCCGGGCGGTCGACTGTCCAGCTCGGAGGACCGGTGGACGGACTGCGGCGTGACTTGAGCGGAGGACGCGGCGGGGGCGGACACGTGGCGATCGCCGAGCTCCGGCTGGACGCTGCGCAGCATCTTTGTCACCCTGGAGAAGGTCTTGAGGGTGGAGCCTCGTTCTACCGCAGAGCATCGGAAGAAGGCTCGGAAACAGCGGTAGAACTACACACACACACACACACACACACACACACACACACACACACGATTGGTATCCAGTTTATTGCATCTCGTGACACCGACGACAAAATGGTGCTTGGCTCATATCAGCCAAACTCAACTTCTCAAAATTGACGACAGCAGGCAGCGACACAGAAATCCTCATCAGATCCGAAATTCGCATCGGAAGGCTTCGAAAGATGCATTCAAGTTGTCTCGGCAGTCTCCATGGATAAATGTAGTGTACTTAGTATACTCTCCTGTTCCACACGTATACTTGAAGTCTACTACATTTCCCCAGGGGGCCGCGGAAGTACGAGGATACCTTTACGGCCATTTGGACCAATAGTTTCATTTCTGTTGTTCTGGATGGCGGGCGACGTGCGTTCCGTTTCCCCGGGCGAGGCGTGACTTTGATTGGGAACGCCAAAGCATCTTCCAAATTGATTCGTTGGTCAAGCACTTTCAACGGCGGTTCCGGACGTCGACGTGCTGTGTGGCGATTGAAGTCTTCAACTCGCCTCAACGCATGGCGGCCATATTGATGGGCTGGGAGGAACTGAAGACTGAAACCGCCGCGCAGCGCCGACCCCCGAATGTCGGCCGGTCGGCGTTTCGTCAAAAGTAGACCGCCTCTAAGAGAAGCCGGGAGATCAAGTGAGGTGACGGAAGCCACAAAGAGATGAAATTGCGGCGTGAGAAAAGGTCAGAAATCTGCTCTCTTTCTGGAGATGATAAGAAAAGTCACCAATGCACTTTTATCTGCGGATATTCCTTTCATCTGTTGTACATCGGTTCCCTTCCATCTGCTCTTTTCTTTGGCTCACGCCTCGTTTTTCCTTTTGAGTCCGGGTCACATCCATCAATCGAAAATCGAGAATGAAATGTGGAGGGGGGAAAAAAAAATATATATATATATATATATAGGTCCATTTATGGGTCTTGTACTTTGCTTTTTTTTTGTTGCCGCGCGGAACTGCACCCATGTCTATAAATAAGTCTGCTTGCTCATTAAGATCACCGACGTCAAATCCGCGAGACAAATAGCAGTCCAAACAAAAGTCCAGCAATAAATAGCAATGCTTGTTAATTCCACCCCAGAAGCCAGCAAATGCTTCCATTGATCTGCCGACTCACGCCGCGCGCAATGCACAAAAAAAAAAAAAAAAAAAAAACGGAAAAAAAAAGGGGGGCAAAAATCGGTAAAATAACGGCTGCCCGCCGAGTGACGCCGAGGTTGATGAAATTCTCCCAGAACTCCCAATGAAATAGCGAATATTTCATCTTGCTTCATTTAAGAAAAGATCGAAAAAGGATTTAGTTCTTTTAAGCCAGGATCGGAATGATACTTTCACAGCAAGCGCACAAAAGCTGTGGGTCAGTATTCTGATTTCTTGGACGTAGTATTTTAAATGTTCTGTAAAGCGCTTTTTACACCTCTGGTAGCAAACTTTTTGTTGTTGGGGTTTTTTTCCCCCCCTCCACTAAAAGTACAATCTGTACAAAGAGATGCATTGAAATGCGAATGGATGAAAATTGTCGAAATGTCACGGCAGTAAAGAGTAATTCAGCAAAGCCAGGCCGGCTTTAGCAAGACAAATCCATTGCTGGGTGGATACACGCAGCTTAAGGTCTCTCGTGGAATATAAAAACTGGAATTTGGGCCAATGTGAAGATTACGGAAAGATTGACCAGCACAATGAATGGACACGACACACAATTATGTCACAAAAAGAGAAGAAAAACAACACATACAGTATAGCTCACAGCAATCAATTCGGTTTTGGCAACCATGACACGAACTGTTGATTGCCGCATCTATTTTTATTTCTTGTAATCGCTACAATACATTTGTATTTCTAGCCAATATGCTAATGCGAACATATTAAACTCCTGTGATTTAAAAAAAATGTTCAGGTGTTAGTTTCATGATACTCTAGCTTTTAGCGTAGCAATTAGCTTGGCTTGCTACTCTAAGGCGTGTTCCATTTTCAGACCTTTCTTCACCCTACCATGTGAACTTTTAAAAAAATTACATAAAGCCGTTGTTGGGTTTGAATGCCTGGATTCTTAAAAAACATTTCCAAAAATCGTCCTTGGCATTGAACGAGGTACCATGTGGCCTGCAAATGTCATGCTAGCTGAACCTTAGCCTAGCTTAGCTTCTGCCATGTGCTTATATTGTTTGGTGGGGTGAATTCCTGTGCTATTTCTTAGCTAATTAACCCTTTCATGCACCCTGTAACCTGATAACATGCTAACCTGTCCACTGTAGTAACCGCTCTCCCAGAAAGGGTTAAAATGTGAATTTTTGGTCATCAGCATTTCAAGGTGAGGGAAATGACCTTGAGGTCATTGGTGTTGCCACGAAACGCAAAACCGGTCGAATTAGACCCAAAACAGTACGTAAAGATTAAGGAGGTTGCAGACAAGCCCACCTGCTTGTTCATGAAGATGTAGATGAAGGGGTTGACCACGGTGGACGACTTGGCCAGCAGCGAGGGCATAATACTGGCCTCCGGGCTGAGGGGCTCTTCGGAGCCGAAGGTGGCCATCAGGGCCACCACGCCGTAGGGCAGCCAGCAAACCAGGTAGCAGACCACCATGGTCACCACCATGAGCAGCACTCGCTGCTCACGCCGCCGCGTCGCCACTGAACTAGAGCTGCGCACCTGGAAGGAGGATGAACGGAACCAAATCATTTTCTTCGTAAAGAAAGAGTGGACCGTATAGCGATAATTATTCAAAAAAAAAAAAAAAAGATAAATAATAGGGTGGCACAGTGGTCGACTGGTTAGGACGCCTCAGGATCGAGCCTGTCAGTGGAATTGGCATTTCGTTGTCCTTTTCAGTGTGTTGAATTGATTTAACTCCGGTTAATTTGTTGACTAGTGTTCCCAGGAAATTGCCCTCGAAAAGTGGAGCCAATATGCTGCTCGCTGCGATTAAAAAGTGGCCACAATCGATCCGAGTCAGGGCAGAGGATCGCACCACCGATTGATTGATGGACAGATAGGAGTTAATTGCTGGACAACAAAGAAAAGCAAACAGTCCAGAAGCAGAAAAACAACAACAAAAAATGTTATGATTATCAACAGATTGTTGTCTGTTTAAATAGGACAACCACTGCAAGTGCTGCATGAATTCGTCACCATGTTTACAGACGGTAATCATTTAAATGAACCACGTTTTTCCGCAACATGAAGTTCCCAACTTTCAACAACGCATCCTTGAACAATTCAAGCCCAGAACCTTTGTTCCATTCACTACAAACCTTCTGTAAATTACTTGTGCGATCAAATCCAACTGAGATTGTTGTCAGGTTTTTTTCACTGGCACCGAAGAGCAGAAAATCCCCCACAGCAAGTTCATGAACAAAGAGTACAGAACCAAAAAATGCTAAACTAGGCAAGGTGGTTTTTGTCTGTGCTGTCTATCACGCTCAAGCAGTGGACAATAGAGACAAAGAACACCAAAAATTAAGACATGAACTGAAATGAAAAATAGCTCATGGTCATACTTATACAGATACCAGATATAAACGTGCATAGGAGAAAAAAGAAGAAATTAAGACGACAAGAAATATCCATATCTTGGGTGGCTAAGGTAGCTAGCTGGCTAAGCTAGCAGTCATATTTGTGTTGGAAGGGTTATCTGTGACAGTATTCAAATAAAATTGTACATCTTATTATGGAATAATTTCAACTAAGACAAACGAAACCACTAACTAACTAACGCACAAACTACTGAACAAGCTGTCAAACTAATTTTGTTGGCAGTCCACTGGTGAGATGCTAGCAGGCCTGCGTGCAGCTAGCAGCCACGTTCGTGTCATCATGACCAGCTTGGCTGCGGTGCCTTTTGGTGTCTTTAAACGGACAACTGTGTGGTTAAGATGGCAATGTTTGATCAATAAAAGCCTCAACACATGACCTTCAGCCACTTTTTTTTAATTGCTTTATCAAAAAAGGCTAATTCGGCCATTCAACACTGTGGCTTCAAATGAGCCTCAAAGCCCACAAGTTTCCATCAACAAATCAGCGGCTTGGTATTGTTATTGTTATTCTACTCTCCCTTCGGTCTGGATGTCTTTTTCATCCCCTCTAATTTGGATGTCAGCCAAACGAGGCAATTTACACCTCCCCCGCCATTTTAACATTTGACCATGTCAAGATGTCATCTGACGCCCTGACGAGAAAGGCCCACTGAAGACGACAGCAACAATGAACGCAGAAGAAGGCACAGAAAATAAAACAATAAAAAGATGCAAAATCTAAGCCTGTTCTTGCAAGAATCGACCTAGAAAAGTGTATATCGACAGTACAGCCTTCTAATCTGCTCATATTTTGTCCACAGGCTGGCGCTTATCTGATGAAGTTGAAATCTGCTTCTTGTTTACATGCAGTACACCACATGGTGTGCAGCCAATAGCTTTCGGGCCATAGAACAGCAAAGGCATTTTATCCATTTAACGCAAATTAAAATAAAGCCCCCAAAACATTCAGCAGTAATCCGCAATCGCTCAGAATATATAAGCGTTGCGTCACATTTTCCCAATACATATCACATGGCCCTCGGAGGAGATAATTGACTTCATGTGTCCCACATAGGTGCCAGAGACGATTCATGGACAAATAATTACATTCCGTATGGCCCCCAAACGATATTTACAGCTCATCAAGCACTTAATTAGAATATTAGTTGATGTGAAGCTACTTTCATATTTGGCTTAATTATGCCCCATCTGCACAAATTAGTCAAATGTACTGAGTAACGTAAAAGATGAGTTTTAAAGATGGGCACCGAGCGGGCTTGACGAACATTCAGTGGAAGGTCATTTCAAAGAGAGGGACCAGCAACAAAAAAGGCTCGATCCCCTCTGAGCCTCCGCTTAGTTCTGTGTAGTGTCCGCTCCGCAGTCCTGAGGGGAGGCCATTTAAAGATTTGAAAACAAAAAATAGTATCGTAAAAAGAACTCTAAAATGTATGGGGAGCCAGTGAATGGATGCCAGAGTAGGAGTAATGTGCTCCCTCTTATGAGTACCAGTCAAGAGGCGAGCAGCAGCATTTTGGACCAACTGGAGATGCTTAATGGAGGATTGGCTGACTCCAAAGTAAAGTGCCTTACAGTAATCCAGCCGAGATGTGACAAAGGCATGAATTACTTTTAACAAAGGAGAGCCTTTACTTTCTCCAGCTGCCCAAGATGAAAGACGCCGGATTGAACAACGGCACTAATTTGCCGGTCCATTTTAAAATCACTGTCCAGTTTTAAGACCCAAGTTCAAGACTGTTGGCTGAAGATAAGGAGACAGTATTTGATCATTGTGTGAGTAACTAAATAAGAGTATCTAAGACCCCTTGAGTTGAAGTTAGGGGCAGACATCAATAAGAAATGTATGACCCAGACTTCCTTTTCAAACATGTAAATTCATTCGGCGCGGAACTCGCTAGTTATATAAAAAGAGCAAAAATGACGAAACAGATCCTGAGCATATTTGGACAATTTCCATGGGTTGTAGACTGCAACGCATCAAAGCGAACTCTCTAATCCGCTTCAAGTAAAAAGACACATTCCTCACATTGGAATTTTTGTCAGACCAACAAAAGCTTAACCGGCAGGGATTAGCGTTGTCTCACTAGCCAGAATGTAAGATCAAGTTCAAGGTGGCCAACGTGAGATCATTCAGCAAGCAAGCATCTTCCTCTTTTGAAGTTTGAATTCTTCCAAACTGCATCCCAGAAACTAATAACATGGGGGGAAATAATTTTGGAAAAGCCAAATAGTAATCCAAATGATCATTAATCTGTAAGATTCCTATGAGCGGTACATTCAGTTTCTCAAGTTTTTGTGAATATTTTCAAGTTTTTTCTTCTAAAAACAAGGCACAAGAAACCCAGAAACATTTGACTGAAGACAAGCAGACGATGCTCCGATGAGACCCGGACTAAACGTACTTGGTTAAGATGGTGCTGACGGTTACGATTTGGACTGTTTCACTTTGGGATGAACTCATATTTGTAGCTCCGAACACATGGGGCATCATCTTTTCTACCGACACATTTGTTCATTCATGCTACGGTTGTAGAGGGGAATACGCATTCCTGTACCACAATGGTGAAATGTTGTATAGAAATCCAAATAGGCGGTTTCTTTGAAGAGATCCAGTGACACAATGAACCAAGGTCGCAAGTTCCGCCGGTTTACTACAAGCCGCTTGGCCCTCACCTGTCTGATGGCGTGCAGCAGCTTTCCGTAGGAGAACACGATGACGCCGAAGGGCAGCACCAGGCAGAAAGCAAACAGGCACACCACGTACGAGACGTTATTGGCCGTCTGCGAGCGCCAGTCCACCGAGCACGTGGTGCCGGGACCTTCGGGCCCGTAGCGGCTCCAGCCCAGCAAGGGGGGCACCGTCCAAGCCATGGAGTAGAACCAGGAGAAGCAGATGCCGCCCAGCGCCGGACGGAAGTTGCGGCCGTCTGCCATGTTGGGTACCATTATGGTGCAGTAGCGCTCGTACGACAGCACGGCCAGAGAGATGAGCGACACGATGCCTGAGAAGGAGAAAGGTCATCACCTTCGGCATACCACGCTCCCGAGATGACACTTCGGACCCCCTTCCCACGTATACTTTTCTATCCATTAAAAGCAATTGTAGTGGTACTTGGTACAGACTCAGGGAGAACTAATGAGGTCTGATTCAACCGCCGACTGATGAAGTGATTGTGCTGCTGTTCTCGGTGTACGACAAAACGACCAAACGTGCCGTGATTACTTTTCTTCCGCTGCTAATTGTTCAATTGTCAAGTCGCCATGTGGGAAAATTGCCCGAAGTGACAAAAAAAAATCTGAACCAATCAGCACTAACGAGCTCAAGAGCTTGTCCAGGAACCCCTTGACCCCACTCGGATGCAAACTTTCTGATTAGAGGTCAACACAGCCTCCTGATTGGTTGAGGACGCAGACTTTCTGATACAGCGCGTCCATAGAATCGGTGGGATATCAGCCCTCCTTGGTCGCAGCTCTTTTGTATTTCCTTGGTTCCGTACCGGGTTTTGTACGCTAGACCCTAGACCCTACGCTAGAACCCAAAAAGTCCTTTTTGGTTAATTTTTGCCTCGACTGTTCACTGGTAGAGCGAAACAAGACTGCAAAATACATTTGGGCAAACATTTTGAGGTTATTCATTAAACCCCCAAATGTGGGTCAAATAGCCCACGAAATAACCCAAAAGAAGTTGTTTATTTGACGGTCGGCTTCGTTTTGACCAAATTCGGCCTTTTTTTTAATTTTTTTTTATTAACCCAACTGCTTTTATTTCGAGTGAAGCAATAATGTACAATTTAATTGGGTCAAAAATAACCCAAAATGGGTCAAAGAGGGGCCAACTCAACTTTTTGAGGTTATTCATGAAACCCAAAAGGTTGGGCCAAATAACCCACCAAACAGCCCCCATACATACACACCCACCCTGCAATTGGTTGGCAACCTTTCGATTTGTTTCTACATGAAGAGCGCCGCAGCACCACGACGCCCCATCTCAACTTTTGAAAGCTATAAAGTCTCCCAAGTTGAGCCGACGCATACGAACGTCCTTCATTTTTCTTTCTCCTCCCGGTGTGTCTAATGGGATTACATCACAGGTGCTGGCAGCGACTCAAACGCGTCACATTTTGATCCCTTGCTGGGGTCAATTTTAACCCTTTCACGGAACGGCGGTCACTACAGTGGACAGCTTATCATGTGATCAGGTTACAGGTTATCATTCTTGGTGTATGAAAGGGTTTAATGGTCTTTGCATCTTAATCTCAATTCTTTCAGAATCAATCAATGTGCCCTCGCCCCACTTTCCAGAGGGGCTCAATGAAGCAGCCCGGGGCCAGCAACCCTATGCTGAGTCAACAGAAGGCCTCATCACTGTGGACAATTCTCTTAATGAATCACAGGTTTTCCTGCACCACCTCCCACTGTTGCTGCTGCTTCTTTTTGCCGTCTTGTTGCACATCTTACACACAAGCCACAAGTTGGCGGCGTCACTCAATTAACGGTCACTTGGTTCTCATTTGGACAACACACAAACAAGAGCCCTGCTTCCTGCAATTAGGAGGTGAGCAGCTTCCCAAACTTTTTTTGTCGACGTCGTTTTTGTGTATCCAAGAGGAACAAGTGCATGAAAACGGCAAACAGACGCGTGTGGTGACAGCAATGTTCCAAAAATGTCACACTTTGATGGTCAAAAGGTTTTCGGCTCAAAAAAGTCACAGCGCATGTTCTTACATATTACGTTGTTTGACAAATGCATTGGTTTTAACGCATTTAAGATTTGAATGTAATTGATTCTAATTATTTGTGTTGGGAAAATATCGTTTTGGGTTTTGTTAGCATTCGAGTGCAATGACTGCACGATCAGTTGGGACATTGTTTTTTTCTGGGGTTATAATTTATTTATCCTTTTTTTTTTTTTAAAGAAAACTAGCAGTCTATTATTCTTTGAAAATAAAAGAGGCTTCCCCGTGTAGCAAATTAGAATATGGCCACGCTGAATGCCAGTTAAGCATGTCTTCGTGCTTTTTTTTCTGCTTATATTCCACGAAAAAGTGTACAACACGACTCCAACAAGTGCAAATGAAGTCAACGCTGCAGCAGGTTTGGTTGACAAGACTAGATTGATTACGCCTCTCAGAATACACAGCGTGTCTAGAACAAATGTGCATCAAGGATAAATGAGATTTGCTGTTAATGTACCAACACAAAAATGTGCTTTTTCTAAAAAAAAAAAAAAAAAAAATGTTTTAAACGCTGGCAAACTATGGCTTCCACTGTAAACTTGTCAAATGGCAAAAAAGTGTCCTTTGGCATTAGCATTGTTCATGGAACGACTTTTCCACACGATTGTATTTGGCCTGTACAGGTAAGTGTTATTATACAATGTGAATTTAGCGTGATGAATGAAAAACACTAATTTCTCAATCTTTTGCCATTATTTGAGGGCAAAAGGACACCAAACTGCATTTTGAACTACAGAACGCAAGCACAGGTGAGTCTCGTCCTTGTGTTCACTGAGAAATTGGTTACAAAAAAAAAGCTTACTTTTCTCGATTTTTTTTTTTTTTTTTTTTTTTTTTGCAGTGAACACTTGTGCAGGAAGTTCCCCACTGCCATGTTTTCTTCGTGGATTCAAAATAAATAAAAAAAAAAGGAAAGACTTCAAAGTGAAGCTGTACTCACCCAAGCAGGCGTTAACGAAGCCGTACCACACGCAGCCCGCGCGTCCGATCAGCCATCGTCCGTGGATGCTGGCCGCGAAGCTGAACGGCGTCCCCAGCACGCTGACCAGCAGGTCGCTGAGCGAGATGCTGACCAGCATCAAGTTCATGGGCGTGCGCAGAGCCCGGTAACGCAAAAACATGGCCAGCACCACCAAGTTGCACAGGAAGCCCAGCGTGCCGATCAAGCCCAGGCACACCGCCACCAGCAGGTGACCCGTCGGGCTCAGCGTCGGAGGCGGCGGGGAGCCGGACACCTCCTCGTACTTGGCAGTGTTGACGACGACGACGGCGGCGGCGCCTCCCACCGCCGGGCAGTGCGCGCAGGTAATGCTCACGTTGGAGTCGATCATGTCGCCCGGTTCGGACCCGAGCCGAGTTGGCAAGCATCCGGTTCGCTCGGCCAATCAAGCCATCTGCAAGAGCAGGAGGAGGCGGACGGTCGCGCGGCGGGCTGCGTCCTATGCGCCTCTTTTTACGCACGGACTCAGCATGGGGGGGGGGGCGTAGTGGGGGGCTTTCGGGGTCGTTTGGCTGCTGAGCGACTCGAGTGTCGGCGTAGGTGTGACGGCGGCGGCGACTCTGCCTGCTGAGCGCTCCTTCCTCGCTTGCCTGCGCTTTTTATCGCCCGCTGAGCCGCGAACAATCGACACCCCCCAGTCAGTCGTCAGCGCAGCCAATCACAGTCAGCGGGCCTTTGTCGGGAAGCCGTTCAACGTTTATTCCATATCTTGCAAATCCAGTAAGGTCCAGATATAGTACGCTCTTTGTCCTCACTACATTTAAAAAAAAAAAAAAAAAGTTGAGTGGACTCAAAATTGCTAGGCAACAAATTGACATTAAAATGTTTGTTCGTGTTAAAATGAACTTTCATGCATTTTCAACAAATTGACACAACCGGCATGGTACTCCGCTTCTATCACGATTGGGCAATCTGGTATCGTTTTTTTTTATTTTTTTTTTAAATAATGGATTCCACAAGCCGGTTCTAAGTGTAAGTGCTAGCCCAAATGTTACCGGGAGACGCTCATGTGGAAATCTAATTAATTTCTAGGAATCGTCAGGTCCCCAAAATGAGCAATTAATATGTAGTGGAAAAAAAAAAACAGGCACTCATCATTATTCATTAAATATCTCTCAAACGGAGAATCATCTTTAATGCAAATGTTCTTTTCCATTGCAACGAAAGACACGTGTGCTCAACATTCACAGATTCAATTAGCATACATGCGATTCGCCGAGAGGCAAATTTACATTTGTTTTGTTTTGCCTTTAATATCAGACGTAACCCGAATGCATTCCTTACAACCCGGCGGAGCACAACGTCATTAAAACAGAAAACAAAAAAACAGTTGGAGTTTATTTCAGCATGCCTCATGGAAATCAATGTCATCAATCGCAAAATCGGTACATTGTGTGCTATAGTTTGCGGAAGCTTAAGGGCATATTTAATTTTCACGTGTTCCAATGAAGGACATTGCATAAAGATTCAAAAGAATTTCTTCTTGGAAGGATTGGCCGCCTGTCAATCATAGGGTAGGGAGAGACAAAGAATGAACTGGTCGCCTGTCAATTTCATGGCGCAAACCAGCGCTCACGTTTCCACTTGTGGACAATTTCGAGTCTTCGTTGAAGCCAATATGCATGTTTTGGGGAACGTGGGAGAAAACCCAGAACTTCTCCTCTGCGAGGCAGATGTGCTAATCACTAGTCCACTGCACTGCCTGACTGACCTCAGCTATCTTTCAGTCAAAGTCAAAAGTTTGAAAAATGTCCCTGGCAACCAAAGCGCATGCTGACCTTCTTGCTAATGCTGCTTAACACGACTCACATAAGGCCCAACAGACTTGAGGAGACGTTTAAAAATGGAGAAAAAAAAACTTGGACGTCATCTCAATTCAATTTCTCACAATTGGCCTCCAAAGTCCTTCATCCATTAGGAGTAGAAGTGTGAAAAGACGAGGGAGGGACGGCGCCATTAACATCATTCATCGGCCAAACCCGGTGTTAATTAACGTCCTTGCCGCCTCCTTATCCATTCAAAATCGTTCTGTCGTGAAGTGGCGCAAGCGCCTCAACCTCGGCTATTTACCAAAACACCTCAAGAGGGTCAAGGTGGGGGAAAAAAAAAATAAAAAAAGATGGCGCGAAACAAGGGAAGGACACGTGAGCCGCCTCCTCCTCGCTTGTCGAAAACACACTCTGGACTTCGTGAATCCAGACTAATTGCATATTCACGGATAACAAAAAGAACACATACTGATGACCTCTTGACCTGGCATTGATTCTTTTCATTGAGTTGTACAAACTGGAACAAATTGCATTTCCAAATCCAGCGCGGGCGAGGGGGGACACAGGTGAAAAGACGGCAGCGGGGAAGGAGGATGGAGAAAAGGCGAGGCCAAAGGTGCTGATCGGTTCGACGTGAGAGATAAGGAGGCAGATAAGGAATTGACGGTCTGGTATTTTGGTTCGGCAGTTGCAGCACACAAAGTGAGACACAGGCGGGATGTATGAGAAGGCAAGTATGCACCGGTTGGCCACAATTTTGACAAACAAGAGCAAGGAAGGAATTTTTATCATTATTTTATTTGGACACAGGTACCATACTCAAAAATCCATCCTGTTTCGACACAGGGCAAGTAGGCAAGGGAGATGAATGATTCTACACAGCCGGCCTGGCGACAGGAAAGCGGATAAGGAATCAATGGTTTTGACACAGGTGTCCGACACAAGCCTAGGCAAACCCTTATGGCGCTAAATGCGATTTCTGGTTCGACGCAGGTGTTAAAGAGGTGGTTAGGAAGCACTTGGAATGATGAGACACGGGCGGGTAACGAGAAAGGCGAAGAGATGCTAGCTAAAGAATCGCTAGTTCCGTTAAAGGTGCGAGATACGCGAGTAAGAAGGGGAACCGAGTTGTGAAAATGTCGTTTGTGGTTCGACACAGGTGTTAAAGTCGAGGCTAGGAAGGCTTGATTAGACACCAGGCGGGAGATAACAAGACGAATTTCATCAGACGTCAGTGCGAGTCATGACGAAACGTGCTTTTAATCTCACCCCGTGTCATTTTTCACATGCCACCCACCTGTGTTGCTTTGTTCTCGCTCACTTGTTGGGTTCCTTTGATGGTTCCGCCGCGCCACAGGTCCCAAAATAACCACCGCCGCATGGTTCAAGTGTGTTTTTAGCATGTAAATAGACAAGGGGATACGCGTCGACGTCACTTCTTGCGCCGTGACGGCGGCTGTTACATGACTTATAGTTCAAGTCCAGGGGAGACAAAAGCGTTGTTTCGCACCTTTGCACTTTCCTTGTTGTTGGCAGGGTGTTGAATTGAGTCTTGCAAGTTTTGTGAGAAGTGGCCTGAAGTGATTTTCTTTTCAACAGACTTCATCTCTCTCACAATTAAACTTTAGGTAGCCTTAATGCCACCTTATGAATTAATCAATCACAAGCCTCACAGACTTAAAAAAGAAAAAAAAATTGTCGACCCTACTGGCTATGTCGTTAATAATAGATACAGGAGATCTTCCCCTTCCACCTGATTGTCAAGAGCTTTTACGACCTGCTTTTCAAATCCCAGAATTCTTCCAAATTGCCCCCCCCCCCCTCCAGCCCGATATTTTGTGATGAGGGTGGTCACTTCAGGAATCTTTTTTGAGCATCACTCTTGGAAAAATGAGCTTCATTTTTTTTTCTTTATAAAATCAAGTCCCAAAAAGCACTCGTGAATGCAATCAGGAGAAGTATTCCGGATAATCGTTCACAAAGCACCTTGGATGGCGACGCCATTGAAAATCAGCAGCTGTCTTGTGCAAAGCATGAAGATCTGCTCGTTTGTAAAGTCAGTACAAACTATCAAAACTTCGATAATATTTGGTGTATACATTTAGCTGCATTTTTTTTCAAATGTATTTATTCATGTATTCAACTCTAAATTGGGACTTGGCTGTACACTGTAAAAAACAAACAAACATGGAGGGGGGAAAAAATCACTTAAAAATCAGTGAGTGTCCCACGAAACTAACTGTATCATCCGTCCTGCTTAAGTCCTAATGAGCGCCATTGTTCATCCACTGACAGACGAAGAGAGGATGAAGAAAAGACCACCCCCACCAGGTCGCCGAGTTGGCACATGGTTTTGGCACCTGTGAAAAGTCAACAACCCGGCGCTGGCGCACACGCGCTCGGAATGACGAAGGGACGCTGACCTGACAGGAGGCGATTTATTTGTCTCGCTTTGTTCGCCCCATTAGCCACCCGGGCCTCGACCGGACGAGACAGGCGTTGCACGCTGTGTTGTTTGGAAGACACCTGGTGTTTTTTTTTTTCCTTTGCAAAAAGTGCAACGGCACATTGTAAACACACAAGTGCAAAAAAGGACATGAGAAGTTGGGGGCGGGGGGGAATCTATCAAGTGCAGGGAAACGTGGCTGAAGGACAAAATTTAGCTACGTAAATAGCATTAGCGTGGCAGGACATCAAAGTGTGACATCGCATATCGTCATCATGTGATGTCGTGGCACGACATGGCACTGTGATGATGTCGTGGGACATCGTAGCTTCACAACTTAACGTGACTTTGTGGTTTGACATCCTTGCCTGACATGCTAGCGTGACGCCGTAGCGCCACGTAATAGCATAACATTTGACTATGTATCAATACATAGTAGCTTGCCAGGGTAGTGTGAAGTCCTAGCGTGATCTTAGTGTGACGTTGAAGCTTAGCTTGACTTCCTAGCATGACATGCTAGCGTGACGCCGTAGCGCCACGTAGTAGCATAACATTTGACTATGTATCCATACATAGTAGCTTGAACAGGGTAGTGTGAAGTCCTAGCCTGATCTTAGTGTGACGTTGAAGTTTAGCTTGACGTCCTAGCATGACATTAACGTTACATTGGAACGCCGTGTTAGCATGACATCGTCACGTTAGAGTGCACTGTGGTGTAAATAGTATGACATTGTAGTTTGACATGCCGTAGGGGGCTTGACGTTTTCGTGTGACATTAGCGTGACATTAAAACATTTATTGTGATGTCGGGGCATCACATCGTCGTGGCTCATTGTATTTTGATAACGTAGCTTCGCCCTTCGCATCGTATTTTGAAATGCGCGACATCGTAGTATATCAGTGATGTCACTTGGTACTGTGATGTCATAGCGTGAAGTCAGAGTGGGATCTTGTAGTTTGACATCGTAGTGTGTCCGCGTAAAAAGATTATTACTCAAGTAAATGACATATGTCTGATACTTGTCTCAATCTTTTTGACAATGGAAAAGTTGGGTCAGGATTTCCTGAGGAACTTCGAGGTGTGAGTCAGAGCAACGTTGACATCGTCGAGGGACAACTGATGGAGCTCCAGAAAGGCAACAAAGAGTTGGACTTGAAAAAGTGGCTCGGCCTTCAACGCATCCATAAAGGTGAAGAATCGCAGCCCTTCCTCTTTTTTTTTTGAGGAGAAGCTGTTTCTCCTCGTCTTCCTGTGGTGCTTTTACCGAGCCTCCTGGGGGTGGCGGGGGGAGGGACGAACATTTCTCTCACTTGACACTATCGATCGCTCTACAGTTCACGGATGAGTCACTTGGTCTCGGCCGCCGCCTTTTTCTCCCACGCTCTTGCTTTGTGTAAATATTCATATGCTTCTCTTATTACTTCGAAACACTCGATCAATGTCAATAAGGATGTCAATCTCGGCGGGAATGAAATGATTTAAGGAGAATGAATCAATTAAGAGCAGACCTCGGCATTAAAAAAAAATAACAATAAAAATTAAAGTGGACGGTGAATCCCGTGGTTTCAAGAAAATCCGGACTTTTAGTATTTATTGACCGAAGTCAGGTGTAAACCCATGTGTTTAGTTTGTGGCGAGCCGGGCGCCATCTCGAAGGCGTATAACGTGAATTGCAGACATTTGACTGAGGTTGAGAGTGCAGATATCCGAAGATTTGCTCGCAAAGCTCGATAAACAACAAGGCTATGTTACCAAGCTACACCGAGCCCGGGAAGCAGCAACCAAGACCAACTTTGTGACAGCCCACAATATCGAGAAAAACACGAAGCCATTTTCCGGAGGGGGAATTCGTTCAAGAGTGCTTGGAGGACTCTGCAGCGCCGATATGTCCGGAGCAACAAAAGAAGTTCAACAAATCCAGGTACAGACCCTCTCTGAGTGATGTTCATCTGTCATGTGTGCTTCACATCTCCACCTGAAATATTCAACCTGAAATTAGATTTTTTTAGACATGCGCATTCCTACAAAATCAAAATTTTGAAAGATAAAGGAATGTGTAAGTCTACCATATTGCTGTGCGTGTGTATGCATGTTGGATGTATGGAGGAAGGCCTTCCCGGTGGCAACAAGAAGAAAAGGAATAGAAAAGTTGCGCACAAGAGTCGCAAAGTTCAACCCACAAAAAAAAGTCTAGGACCAAAAAGACAAAAAGCAAGTCTTGTCATTTTGCTTTGAAGCAGCCAGGTAAATAAGTCCTTCAAATGTGTTTTGAAAATTCAGCCCTACGGGCAGTTCATCATCAACATAAGATTGGGTAGAGATGTCGAGCATTAGTACACTCCCACCAAAAAAAAAATACAATCTCTTGACGCCGTGTCTGAAACGGCGCGGCAAGCCTGTCGTTTTGGCATAAAGTGGTCTTTTTAAGGCTCATTTTCCAAGATTGCTTCAAATATTTTTGAGAAAAATCAGCCCCAAAGGCAGTTTCGCGAAACACAAAATTTGGTAGGCATATATTCCAAGAGTAGACACACCAAAAAAAACTGCTTTATTTTATTATTAGTATTTTTTTTACATTCAAGCATGACATGCTGTGGTCCTTTTGGCCATTATGGATTCCATTATATTGTCCGAGATACCGATACATAACATCACTATTTTTGTCCCACCAATGCAATTTAACACACTGCTCCACTCAATCTTTCAATTTTTTTGCATGTGTGATCAAGCGTACCCTCTTAACCTCTGACTTTGCCCCATCGTATTACAGCGACGGACACACTTAATTTACACGCAATTGATTCCAGCAGGGCCAATTGGAAATCAATTTCAAAGTTTCTATTCCGCCTGTAGTCAAGAAGCAGTGGAGGAGGATCTTTCACTCACACACGAATCGTATTTGAATGTTTGGCTCTTTTTTCAAAAGCCATTGAGGTTAAATGGAATCGACTGGCTGGGAGAAAATGAGAATATCTTTACAGACAATGTTTGCATCAGGCAAGGTCGCATGTGGCTGAAAAGTGAGTGCGGAAAAATAGAGCATTCATGTAGCAGAAATGCTCAACAAGCGGCTCTGAAAAGACACAAACGCTTTCTTTTGTCATTATGGTCAGGGTCAAAAAGTCCTGTGCCAATTCTCCCGTTGTGCGACACGAGCGGCGGAAGCTGCGATACCTGCACAAACGCACGCTCGCCAAGGTCACTTTTAAGAAAAAGAAAATTTCAAAAGCCTCCGCTGCTCCTGCCTCACATTCAAGGCTCACCCTTTATGTATATTTTTTCCCATTAAATCGATAGGCCTCCAAACATGCATTTTTATTTTTTTTATTGCTCCTTCCCAGCTTTTGTGTGATGGCTATGTCAAGTCGAGACAGAAGAATACGAGTAGATGTCTGAAAAAAAATAATCATCAGGATACCTGCACATGTTCATTGCGGTCGCCGTTCTTGCCAACTTGCAAAGTAGAAATGACCAAAACTACGCGAGATAATCGGTGAGGGGTGGGGGGCTGGATAGGGGGAAGTTAAGTGGCATCGCGTGCACGCAACATACGTGACAGCAATGACCCTGGAAGTTCACAAGTTGAGGACGCGGCCGGCTGGCCATGACTCAGCATTTCGTTTCCTCCCCTTTGCTAATCACAAGCATGCGATTTGAGAAATTCACTTTATCGAATCAGTCAAGTGAGGTTCATTTGGACCGTCTCGCTTGTTTCCATCTGCGTCGAAGTAGTGTTGCACAAACTATTTCTATTTTTATTTATTTATTTATTTTTTTAAATACCTCCGCGTTGCGGAGTGCTTAGTGCTGTTGCGGATCAGAAAGGCTTTCCAGGGATCACACTGATCCAACGCTGCAACCATGCACTGCGATCAATGTGAGCCAGGCGGAGATTGTTGTCCTGTAATGGAAAGGTCACAGGTTTGACCCCACGGGGGTGCTTCAGACAAGACTTCCATGATAGCTGCACTTGCTGCTCCCCCCCCCCGCAGAGTTCTTGCATGAAGTGACGCACATCATTCTGTCACATCACTTTTATTTCCACCTTTGTTGAATGGCGCTTTACAGTGTTGTCTGAAATTAATGAAAATAAATAAGCAGTTCCAGTGTGGAATAATGCACCAACAGGAGGCGCGAGCAGCGCGTCACAGTACAGATATGCAAGAGATGAACATTCTCTGGTCCTTCGGTGGATGAGTCATCCTCGCCATGTGCTGCTGTCACTTCCTGCCAGGAAAACAAAATGGTTCAGGTCTAAGCAAGGACGCAAAGGATTTGAGACAAAACTGAGGGGGTCCTACGACAGATCCCTGAGCTACTCAATCTTACTGTCTGAAACACCAACATCCCTCCCATAGGCGAGCTGTCGCTAATTTTCACGAGACGGGACCACCCCCTTAAAACAGGCTACATTCCGAGAGCCTGGGGGGGG